CCATGTCCCTGACATGGTATAGGCCTATATTACTCATTTTATCACTCAAAAAAGGGGACATATACCTGTCGTGTGATAGCAGAAATTGTGACAGATCACAACAAATCAAGTACCAAATTGTGTGTGAAAACAGTGTACTCCAAATTAACCTGAATTCACAGACCCCCGGAAATCGTGTCACATCTTGTACACAATCTAATCAAAGCGAAGCTGTCGCTGGGGGTGAATGAAAACAAACCGGCTCCTTGACGAGTGTTTCCGTAAACGTTACTGTGTGTTGTATTGGGTGGAATGCCACTCAAAACACAAAATCAGTCATCCATGTGGCTTTGGGAAGGGTGACACCCTCTTTTCAAATAGCCACACCTCACCCTTAGTTCTACTGCACCCCCCTCGACTCCATCATCCAATGGCCGCGGCGCACCATCTCCACTGCGCGCCTCGGAGAGCGTCTGTTGGATAAAACCTTGCACAGTATTAGTAGCAGGTCCTAAACAGCTACACCACCTCTGCCTGTTGAGAGAGCATCATACCAGACGCTTTATCAAAGATTGACTTGGATCTCCCCGGCCGAGGTTACATTTTCTCCAGTGTGGTCTAGCATTGGATAATAATAAGGATATCTGCCCGGACCTTTTTTTCTGCAAGGCGAAGGTAATTATTTGCACCAATGAGGTGTTAACGGCTAGTTATGGTTACATCACTGTGTTAACAAATGTGAATGGTTGTTAACATATTTAACAAATGGTAGAAAATGTGTAAAAGCTTAACAATTAGTAATTTATTGGCTGATCGTTTAGTTGGTTTATCGAGTCCCGTTACATTCGCTAAGAGAGAGTAGTCCGCATAGAGATCCTTTATTCCTAATTGGTAGTCCCAACAAAGATCCAAGGCTAGCCTACTGAAGGCTACGATAAGCAGTGAAACGTGGTTTTTGTTTTTGTTTATTATATAAGCCTATATATTATTATTTTTATAAGAGGGGCGACGGGGACGTAAGACTCAAATTAAAACTGCAACGCGGACGCTAATATATTGTAATACTATGGCACACTATGGCACAATAAAGAAACACAACATAACTTAACAGTATTCATAAGAACCCCATATTAACTATTACAATGTCCTCTTGCAGCGAAGAGTGCACTCAGGAACACTTTCATGCCAAGCGAGGCCCCACATGGACTAAAAACATCTAATTAACTGGGGGAGAGAAAGAGTGCGTGGACCCTCTTGCATTTGTCAAGGACACCCAACGACCAAGACCTCAGAGATATGTCCAACACCACCGGACGAGGTAAAACACAAGATCTGAAACCCCCTTCCCTCGTATTGCTATTGTATTTTGGCCAGTAAAGAGAAGATAAACGCATGCATTTAATAGCTATTATTCAAATATAGCCTAAATAAACAGATACTTTGTGAAAATGTTCCTTAAAAAAGCTGAAATCATTAATCAATATGAAAGATTGAATTGTCAAAGCAAGCAAAGAAAATGCAGTATATGCATGACAAAAATATTTGAGAGACCTTGACAGAAATCACCCTTTAATAGTTTATGCTCAGGCGTACACAACGGAATACATTCATAATCCCTGTCATTGTTTTCCATCCAAGTTTCGTTAAGAGTACCTAACATTATTCACAGGGATTTCTAATGACATGAAAACGAAACGCTTTTCAAGTAATTGGGTGATTATGCTGATAATAAACTGGATTTCAGCAGGCACGAAATTTTGGCCTACGGGTGCTTTGAATTATGAAACACTTGAATATTGTTTGTTGTTTCATTCTCTAATACATTGACATTATTCATATTGAATAAGGACTTTATGAACAGAAACAGGCTATGTTTTGTTGGAATATCTTTATACCCACAAATTCTGAATACATTAGCATAGTTTAGTAGTCCATGGCTGTTTATGACAAGTTTATACAGCAATATTTCTCTTATCAGAGCAGAGATAGGCTAGGAAGGCCAAGAACCTTAGTCAATATAAGCCATATGATCAATAGTTGAACTAAATGTGCACCTGTCTTTATACACCGTTTTTAGATATATTTTCCTTAATTTCAGGGTGATTTTTGTAAAAGTTATGACAGAATGTCAATTAATGAATGTAACATCAAAAAATCAAACTATCAATGATTAGGCCAACAATTCTGAAAGTTGAGCCTGATGTTATAATTCCTGCGTGTGTTTATTTTACAAAAATAACTGATTTTCCTTCTCTCGTGGAGGGTTTGTCAAGTTAATTGGACGTTAGTTTAGCTGACAGATATAGATTTGGGCCAATCCGTGGTCATTGTCACTTCAATTGTGCCAATGATGGAACGGTGGGGAGCTGAATGGTATGGCTTGTTTACGTTTCACCAGGTCTACCCCGCGGCAGAAATTATGACACCCGCTTGTCGCCTCAGATGCGCCATCTTCTTTCATGTTCTCATAGCACCCGCTGTCAGGGGTTACAATAACCGTTCAGAAGTTACAGTGCAGCATTGCACCTTAAAGGTTTTTGGGGTTATTGGGTCCGGTGTGGCTCAGTTGGTAGAGCATGGCGCTTGCAACGCCAGGGTTGTGGGTTCGGTAAGGGAAAAGTACGAAAATGTATGTATTCACTACTATAAGTCGCTCTGGATAAGAGCGTCTGCTAAATGACTAAAATGTAAATGTTATGGGTCTAATCAAATTACGTGACAATATTGTTTAAAATTGTTAGGAGTATCCTATAGGATAGTGAACCGATGTTGTCAAATGTTGGCAATCGATCTCTAGTGGCTGATAAATAATTGTACCCTGTAGCGTGTGAGCGCAGGCGCAAACACCAGCGTCTTCATTTCTTGTGTTAGCAGCAATTGTGATGTTGGACATACCAACATTTTATATGATCAACATTTTATTTTAAAACTGACTGCTTATTTTTTAAATTTAGACTAAATAATGGGTTGTGCTAATCGTGGCCAGTGGCCACAATTTCATTCCATAACCTAATGGTGAGTTAGTGGAATAAAAAAATATATATAAAGAGTATGCTGCATTATGGAAGTTCATGTGAAACCAACATGGTTTTCATGAAAGTGAGAGGTTCTGCAATAGTTTGTGTAGGCTATATTCTATTCAAAATATTATAAGTTACTCAAAAAATAATAATAGGTGAACAAAACCAGTTTTTTCAGGTATGGTAGATATTTCCTCTGGCATTTTGACGGCTCCTTATGTTACGTTGTAGATTGTGTTCTCAATCCAATTGCGTAAATAATCATCCAAAACGCTAGGCTTATAGGCCTGTTACATTAGGTCTAGTTCCCGCATAATTTGAAGTCTAGAACCAATAAAATAATATATTTTACAGAGGATTATAAATTCGAATCAATTTTGAGGAGGAAAACCATGCAATCATTATTTTACTGGCAACAACCTAAATAAGGAATGGCATCATTACAAATTGCGCGTAAATTGAGACAATATAGGCAATTAATTGTACAATTAGGATAAAAAAGTATTTATGAGGGATTTTTGTGTGTGTGTGTGTATGTGTGTGTTTGTGTGTGACAGAAGAGAGAGGGAGAGTGCACGCGCGTGTATATGCGTGTGTGTTTATTCCCTTGGGGTTGCTCAGCTTTAATATCCTGCAGGTTGGTGAAGCTTGGCGGGGAGATTTTTACACACTCCGCTAGCACCGTTAATGGTTCGCCTGCTCCCCACCCAGCCTCGTCCGGCCTCCGTTTGATGTGGAAATAAAAGCTGGGAAAGGGCTAAGGAAGCAAGCTGCTGAATGGGTTAAATTAAAAGCAATGGGATTCTAACAAAGTCACTGATGCAGTCTATAGAAAGACAGAGAAGCTGCTGACAACTTTCCAAATAAAATGGCAAACCGTTTCCCCAGCAGCATTTCCAAGTCCTCATAAAGGAGAAGTCGATTTTAGATTTTTAAATTAAAATGGTCAACTATAACTACAACATGTATTCCCTGGTGTAGTCTAGGCCTATGGTAGGCTATTCATTTTAGCATCGACACAAGGGAATAAATGTTCTTCTTCAAATGAATATGCATGCGCATTATCTCGAGCATATTGGTGAAACATAATAATTGTATAGGGCTATAGGCCAAATGTTCATAGGAATCACTATTTCATTAATCCCTATAGTTCAAATACAGACGATGAACACTTTCTACCATAGCCTACATCACTCTCAACATTATATTTTTAATAATAACCGTATTATACAATCTGACCAACGACAGCCCATCGATGTGTCTAGACGAGAAGAAAGTTAGTGAGTATGCATGCACGCAAATAGGCTATCAATAACTTGATTTACCCCACACAAATGCTATTTGACCTAATACAGCCATTGGAAATTGTCAACATGCTCACGATGTAGGCTACATTTGTCTATTGTAAAAAACGAATTATTGCCATTTATTTTGCGTAATTGTAATGTTTTTTTTAAATTAGCCTCTAAATGTAATACACATGCCTGTCAAAGAGGTGGTTTCACATTGAACTTGGTGCTATAGCCTATAGAAGTCCGTTATCCTCGCAGATATACAAACATTTTTAACGAATAATTGATAAAATCGTGGGAAAATAAACTCCAAAACATAACATAATGATAAATAATAATAATTAAATAATTTGTTATTTAGGCTATAGAATTGTATCTTAGACAGTATCACTTCAGGGCGTGTTGAAATCGAAATTATGGCAATATCGTATCATTGTGCATGTGAGCTGTTTTTCCATGCCGCTTGCCAGAATAGGCCTAAATTATGCCTGGCCTATGGGCCCCAAACTTCTGACATAAACATTTTAAAACGCATAAAACTATCCGCTTTATAACGTTTAATGTGACATTCCTTTATATCAAAGTTAGGATAAACTTACTTTCTCTGCGAGGAATGACTACCTGCTCTCGCTGCCTTGTGTGTCCCATAGGAAACCCAAACCCGGAGAGAGGAATCTAGAGGTCAGAACCAGGATTGAGAACATCTAGAATGTGGAAGACTTACACAGAGCTGTCTAGACCAGAGGCTGTCAAATTTCTAGCTAGATCCGACTTAATTGGTCAGTTACCCTCTTTTACCACTCTTTTAAAACAACACTGAATTATGCATGATAAATTGACAAAATATATTCTTACATGTGCATCATTCACATCACTGTCATACTTTTTATATAGCCCTTTTAAGATCTGTACCCGGGTTAGTTTGATAGCTAGGTGCTCTATTCAATCTGTATCACTGAAGCGTTAAAGATTGCGCTATAGACATTTTAAATTAATTTCCGATTGAGCCGACATAGCCTATACAGCGTTTACGGTGAATACAGTCTCTGCTAACGCGGGAACATTGCATTTAAATTTCAATCACGCTGTAACGCTGAACTTCAGCAATATAGATTGAGTAGAGCCCTATGCTACTGTAACTTATAGTTTAGTGAATCATTTTTTTGTCCAACGTTCATATCAATTACATGTAAACTTGAACACACCAAACATGCCTGTCTCCTCAACATAAAAAAACGAATGTGAAATAACTTTATTTAAAACAATGCAGAGAAAAAAATTCCAGGAAATATATGCTCATTGTTAGGTTCATGACCTACACAATTTTGTGTGCTGAATTGTCCCACCAGGTTCAATTACATCTTCTCTTGGAAACCCAAAGGGCCTGCCTTTTTATATTTTTTTTTATTGCATTCTGAAAATGATATTGCCAGTAGATGCCTAAATAATATGTGATTTATTTGATCAATGAATCTATTTTGTTCTACATGTCTGTAGTACGTCATTGTCGTATCTATGTAAGAACATTAGGTGCCAAGTAAGCCCTGTCTCAGACCAAACTAATAGCCTGAAGTAGAACCAGCCCAGACCCCATATCAGTCTGCCCTCGATGTGTGTGTCCTCTGTGTGAGGTAGTGCTGTGTGTGGGTGGTAGCGTGGGTGGCAGTGGGCTCAGGTTCCATGACATTTATGTGTGTTTCATCCCCCCTCCTCCCCCAGGTCATGGGGGTCTTAACCAACTAGGCGGAATGTTTGTGAACGGCCGTCCGCTTCCGGAGGTGATCCGGCAGCGCATCGTGGACATGGCCCACCAGGGCGTGCGTCCCTGTGACATCTCCCGGCAGCTCCGTGTCAGCCACGGCTGTGTCAGCAAGATCCTGGGACGGTGAGCACCTCATAGCACCTTTACACAACAGGGTGAAACCGTTAGCGGCCCTCTATTGTGTTCTCAAGACACCTTAACCATGAACCACGGTCTCCCATTGTTAAAAGATTCTGGGTTCACTATACAGTACGTCATTGGTACCGTAAACACCTATTTTTGTTCAATCCAAATGATGACCACCCACATTCACCATATTGCTCTCTGACTAAACAAACCTCTCTCTCCTTTTCCAGCTACTACGAGACTGGTAGCATCAAGCCAGGAGTGATTGGGGGCTCCAAGCCCAAGGTGGCCACTCCTAAAGTGGTTGATAAGATAGCAGATTACAAGCGTCAGAACCCCACCATGTTTGCCTGGGAGATCAGAGACAGGCTGCTGGCAGAGGGGGTGTGTGACAGCGACACTGTGCCCAGTGTCAGCTCCATCAACAGGTACTGACTAACCTCTACATTATGCTATGTGTAAACCAATAAATATCACTGAGTGGGCCTTTAAAATAAGAACTGTGATCTCTTTAGGAGTGTAAGACAAGTGTATAGAAATTGAATCAGCAGAACAAACGTAGATGTAAAGTCTGTGATCTTTCAACACAGTTCACTGCACCTATCTGGTGTAGGTGACAATAAAACATTTATTTATTATTATTTATAATCTCTGCTCTTTATTCCAGAATAATCCGAACCAAGGTGCAGCTGCCTTTCAACCTGCCTCTGGACGGCAAAGGCTTAAGCCCAGGACACACACTCAGTGAGTCTCTACACACACACACACACACACACACACACACACACACACACACACACACACACACACACACACACACACACACACACACACACACACACACACACACACACACACACACACACACACACACACACACACACACACACACACACACACACACACACACACACCCTTGTCATTAACAAAGCACTAACACTCCCCCCACTCCAACCACCAACACACGCCTTCAATAAGGTCTAGCATTATGATCTGATCATGCAGTATTAAGCCTAAAGAAACTCCATGCTTAATGGTCCATAACATTAAGCGCTAATGGTCAACGATAATATTGTAGTAATAATGGTCCGTTTCCCCTTTCTGTCTGTCAGTTCCCAGTTCAGCTGTCACTCCCCCAGAGTCGCCCCAGTCCGATTCCCTGGGCTCCACCTACTCCATCAGTGGCCTGCTGGGGATACCACAGCCCAGTCAAGAGGGCAAGAGGAGCCATGACGACAGTAAGAACCCACAAATTCTCATGCATTCCCAAATCCTGATGTTCTATCCTCCTCTCACATTTTAAGATTATTTTTATTCAATTCAATAAGATTCACTCTCGCAATTTATCCTACAATCATTTAAGTACAAACTCAAATAGATTCAACAGCTTCTCAATATAACGCCACCCCTCTCTCTCTCTCTCTCTCTCTCTCTCTCTCTCTCTCTCTCTCTCTCTCTCTCTCTCTCTCTCTCCCTCTCTCACCCTCTCTCTCTCTCAGGTGACCAGGAGAGCTGTAGACACAGTGTGGACTCTCAGGGCAGCGCAGGCGTTCCTAGGAAGCAGTTGAGACCAGAGCACTTCCCCCCGCAGCACCTGGACTGTGGCTTTGACCGCCACCACTACCCCCCAGACTTCAGCTCTGCAGCAGCCAGCAAGACCGAGCAGGTACAGTAGCCTACATGGCACATTGGCACTGAGAGGTGGAGTCTGCTTAACTCCACTGCAAAAATGACTGTCTCTATCCATCTCTTTGTCTCTCTTTTTCATTTCCAGTCTCTTGCTCTCTCTCCCCCTCTCTTTTTCACACACAACACACACTCACGTACAAATGGTTAATCTGCTCTATCCTCCACAGACTGTGTACCCTCTCTCGCTCATCAATGGCAGTCTAGAAGACGGGAAGACCAGCCTCTCGACATCGAGTGCTGCTATTGGTCGGAATCTGGCAGCGCACCAGGGCTACACTGTGGTGACAGGTAAGACTCTTACGATGGATGGTGCCCTCTCACCCCGCACAAAGATCAGCGCTCAAAGATGAAGCAGAAGGAAAACTGAACACGCTGACACATGGAAACATTATTTTCCATCAGCATATTTCAAGACTCAATTCACAAAGACTCAATTTTAAATATCATAATGCATTCATAATCTGTGAATGTAATAGCAGTCTGTTTAGGCGTGTATACTCCAGACTGTATCAACTGCGGTTGTCATCAATCTAATAATAGATCTTGTTTCCCACTGAGCTATCATAGCAGTTGATGTTTATCTCTGCAGTGCAGCCACATTTTAGCTTGCCGTGCCTGCTGATGCGTTGTACAATTAATTTGGCCTATTATCACGAGCTGCCCAAAGCACCCTTTCAAGTTTAATTTAAAACAGACGTACAAGATGTGCTGTATATTTAATGTAGTACCCATTCCCTCATCATTTGTTTCAAGCATTAATTTCAGCTTCCTGGCTATGCTGCTGTGTATTTGTTAACCCATTCATTCATATTAGATAATTCCATTTTATTTCATTTTCTCACCCATCCACCCACTGGCCATGCCACCTCAGACCCGCTACAGCCCCTCCCACTTTGTCTGAAACAGGAAATGTCCCCGGAGGTGACCAGCACAAGCCCCTCCCCAAACGTGGTGGCCAACTCTGCTTTTCTAGAGCTGCAGTCGCTGCAGGCCCCTGTCACTGTCAGTAGCAGCTGCAGCAGCTCCAACCATTTCCCTCATGCGTTCAACTCATTCTCCCATCATGCACCAGTGTATGGCCATTTCAGCAGCCAGTCTCTCATAGCAGGTAATGAAGCATTCATCTCATCCATTGCCACGCCCTGTAGGGGGTTCATACAGACAGTATAGCATACACTCGCTTATCATGTCAACTGCCACAACACACCAAACCCCATGTGCAGAACTGTACTGGAGCATCAATTGCTGTAGATGATGGTGAGCACCACTGACAGTGCCAGACTTGATTTGTTTTTCATGTATACATCCACCTGCTGCACTACTACAGTACGCGTACATCCTCAGGCTGACAGTGTGTGGTCTGTCCTCCTCTGTTTCAGGGCGGGATATGGTGAGCTCCACTCTCCCCGGCTACCCTCCTCACATCCCCTCCAGTGGCCAGACAGGCTACTCATCCTCTGCCATCACTGGCATGGTAGCAGGTAAGACTCCCGTCCATTGACACACACACAGGCTATGAGACAGGCTATGGCATCCTAAAATGGGATTTCCGAGAAAGAGATGATGTCTCTACTTTCAGTTCAGCTTAGATATATGCAGTTCATAGTTTTATTTATACCCAAACCTGATCCTATCTGTGTTTTCCCTTTGGGAACGCTGAAACTGCATACACTATTAGGACAAAGCACCACAGAGAAGAATGTAGACAAAAAACTAAACATTGTTTTAGGGCAAGGCAGTGACCAAAACCAACGTTAAAAAAGCAAGGATGGGCGTGAGAGAGGGAGAGAGAAATGCTGGGAGGGAGGATTGGAGATTAACAGGAAGGCATGCTGGTTAATGAGTAGCCTGCTCGGCTGGTGAACTGCATGGTGGTGCAGCCAGGGCCCAGGGGGTACAAGGGAACAGGCTGGGGGTTCCGCCCTGCTGCCCGCACCCCCACGCCGCCCCTCTGACCACACATCACCATGGGAACCAGGGGCCCCACCAGAGGGGGGAGAGAGGGTGGGGGGCCACAGGGTGGCAGAGTGGGCCCGGGTGAGAGAGAGAGAGAGAGGGGGGAGGGGGGGAGAGAGCAGAGGAGGAGGATCTTTGTGGTGTGTGTGTGTGTGTGTGTGTGTGTGTGTGTGTGTGTGTGTGTGTGTGTGTGTGTGTGTGTGTGTGTGTGTGTGTGTGTGTGTATGTGTGTGTGTGTGCGTGTGTGTGTGTGTGTGTGTGTGTGTGTGTGTGTGTGTGTGTGCCTTTTTTATTTGAAGTCTGCCCTTCGAAGCGCGAAATGAGAGGGTCTGATTTATTATTTTTCTGGTGGGCTTGCTGTGAGGAAGCGTTCATACACAATTACTCACAGAAAGGGGGGGGTCTGGGGGCGAGCCGGGGTATTCAAACCAGCCAACATAATTACCAATTAGATATTGGAATGTAAAAAAAAAAAGAATGTAAAAAAAGAGAGGAGACAGAAAGGTTGAAAGGCTAAAGCAGGAAGTGAGGGATAGAGAGGAGAGGAGGGCATTTTGGACGGACGGAGAGGGGAGGGGTAAACGTTAAAGAGAGGAAGCGGAGACTAGCCACACGCACCAATGAGTCGAGGGATTTTACCCCCAGCCATCCACCTGGCTCATAGATTAATGGTTTACAAGCTGCCCTAACCATTGGTGAATTATGAGCTAAATCTTAGCAGATGCTGGCAAGAGGACAAACACCCTCAAATGAAGGCAAAAAAACACTTTGAGGAAGGCGGTGTCTTTATAAGAAATATTATGCCTGATGTTGTCTAGACTGTAATGTATTTTTTTCTATACACATACGTGTGTGAATTTCTTACTGAATAATGTTGGTTACTGTATGTCTCTCACTGTACATCTGATGTGTGTGCTGTTTTGTTCCATGTCCTGCAGGTGCAGACTACTCTGGCCAGACCTACACTCACTCCCCCTACACCTCCTACAGTGAAGCTTGGAGATTCACCAACTCAAGCATTCTCGGTGAGTCAGTCAGTCAGGCACAGTGGTGTTCAATGGACACACCCTTCCTAAGTATTAGAAGCATGTACTGTAGTCTGTGTTGTGTGTGTACTGGAACGGTGACAGATTCCACACAGGACCGTACTGTTTAGAACGCTGATGTGTTGTGATTGAAGTGAACGTGATCTTCATGAACAAATGCAAAACCAACGTGTTCAGAATACAGTTCACTGACCAGACTGAATTGTTGTAGATAAAAGTCCCAGCTTCCAATTAAACTTTTTTTTTAAAGGTTCCCTTTGAAATGTTGAATACCAACCATTCCTGTCAAGTCAAGTTTATACTTTAAACCTTATTCAACAGCTTTGAACCTAAGATACAATGAATTTGAACCCAGAGTATCAATGAGAAAACCGCAAATACAAATCCTCACTCCAACCAGAAAATCATGCACAGTCAAACTTTTGGTATCAGTCAGGTGAAATGTATCAGGATCTCCCCTAGTCCCCATGGAAACTAGTTACCCAGTTACCAGGGGGTCGGCTCTATACCACTGCCGTCTATTGGTGTGTACGGTAACTCTCTCTGAGCTTACCAGCCTATGAGAACTTGTGTTCTGTTGTGACTTTCTGGTCACAAGTCAGTGTGTCACCTTGAACCAGCTGATTTCACCAATTATTAACGACACAGGGGAACATAGAGAGTATTAATGCTTGTGTGTTCTGAATGCTGAATTCTATGCATAATGCAAAATATTCTGTGATATTTCTTCCATCAAGTAGACCCATACTTTAACAGAGAGAAGGTGCAAAACAGGCAGCTTTATTCATGGGACAAACTATCCAAGCAAGGCCGATTTCCATCTGAACCATCTGCTATTGTCATGTGGTTGATGGGATTAAGAAAGCCTGCTCTGCATTGCATTGTCCCTCCTAACACCATCAAAGCCAAGCTAAAAATCAAACCACAATAGTAAACTCCTTTCTCTCTGTCGCCCCCTGCAGGTTCACCCTATTACTATGGCACGGCCTCCCGCACCGCTCCACCATCCACCACTGCCTACGACCATCTCTAGCTCCCATGGACCAACCCTCATCAAGAGGACTGGTAATGAGGACCAATAGGCAAATGCAGCAAGGGATAGGAAGCTATGAGGAGAATTGGACTGTCTCCCAATAATGGACAGGGGTGTAAAGACATCGGAGGGACATTTAAGACTTTTAGTGGCAACACTGGACCAGCTATGCTTGACCCTGAACTCATGGACAATACCTTCTCATGGCTAACTAATTAATTATTTATTTGTTTTTAATGACAGCCTCATCCAGGTTGACTTTACACGTTTACACATGACATTCTAAACACTGTAATACATTTGGGCTACTGATTTCTATGACTTTTTCAGTGGCAAAGGCCTGAATCCTGCATTGTGTATACATTGCTCCAAAGCTGTTTCACCAAAGACTTTATTTGTAGCACATTTTGCAACACTCTGACATGCGACTTTGACTTCATGACATCACAGGATGTATTGGTGTCACAGTACAGTAACTGCTTTTTTGTGAAGCTACGCCTGTATTTGCATCAAGTTTACAATCGTTTTATACAATAATACACAATTTCGCATTCTAGTGTCGGTTTTTCCGGATTCTCTGTGTTGAATTCAAAATTCAGCCTCTTTGAGCTCACCACCCAACAAAACCTTCCAGATCTTAAATGTTGAGTTCAAAATTCAGTCTCTTTGAGCTCACCACCTAACAACACCTTCCAGATCCTAAATGTAATTTAGTGCCAATAGTCTGAATGAGGAATGCAGTCACACATGGTATCATTATCAGAGCAAAATGTCCTCATGTCATTGTCAAAGAAAATGTGTTACATGAATTGAACTGTCTGGGTTACTCTTGTTTGGCAATATGTATATATTGTAAATGGCAAACTGCTCTTGAGAAAGAAATGCAATTTTATCAGAAGGATGATTTGGGGGTGAATAGTGTGGGGATTAATGACTTAGTATCTGAAAAACAAAACAACTCTTGAAGATTGTTTTTTTTCTTCATGATAGTTCGAGTTTGTTGTCATGCTGATGTTTAGTATGAGAACTGTGACTAAACTGTTTTTTTCTTTCTTATACTGTTATTAATATTATTGAAGATGTAAATATGGAATTTCTAAATAATTATTTTAATTAATAAAGCATGACAAAGTGATTCTGCATTGCATTTTTCCCCCCCACATGTTTGCAAATCTAATGATTCATAAGAACATTGAAATTAGAAGAAAGTCCTATTAATATGCTCAGAATCAAATAAGAAAGCAGTTTCTATTAATGTTTGTATAGTTTGAGTGTTGTGGCATGTTGTATGTAGTGCATGAACAAACACAGGCCTACAAAAAACTCCCCACTGCTTCCATCACAATAAGGAATAGACATCACAATGAGATTATCATTGTTTCATCACAATGTTGTTTGATGCTGCACAAAGCTCCTATTGTCTAATAATCACAAAACTGGAATATTATGTGTCACACATGCAGAGTTTAGAATTTGGGTACAATCTTGTAAGTGGTTCAGTAGCCCTTTATAATAACTCCACATAGTAAAGCATTTATAATGGCTGAGTAGATCGTTTATACACCCTTTATTAATTATTACACCTTTCATAAGATGTTTAATATATGTCCTTATAAACCATTTACTAATCATTAGTTAAGTATTTTTGTGTGGCCTCGTCTAAAGTGTGGGCCATTTATACTTTATAAATGTTTTGAGTGACCAGTGTAATTTCTCAAAAAAAGATGAACATGCCATTGGTAGACATTCCAGCAGTACCTGATGTTCCTGAAGGTCTGAAAATAGCCCCTAGAACATATCAATGGTTAAACAATAAGCATACAATACAGAGGATGTTTAAATATATTGAACATTTTATTCCAAAACAGTCACATTGTTGTAATAATGTGATGTGTAACTTTAGACACACTCTGTGCTGAGTAAAATAACGTTTTTCATCTGAAAACCAAAGTGAAGATTGCAGTCACTCCTTAATCCAGAGACTGCTTATGAGTTAAGGAAATAAATATCTGAATACATAATTTCACTGAACTATCCCATTGCGTTTAAAGAGTTACTACCTTTAAAGGCCCATTAAAGGTACTGCCAAACAAAGCCATGTGTGAAAATAGTCTATGGTTAAAAGACTGAAGCACTGGAAGCATTTAAAGGTCATAAAATGTCTACATGCATATCATAAATGTAAAATTTCTACCACAATCACATATCATTAGTAATGAAATAATAAAAATTCACTAGAGAAAAACTGTCTGGTCTGGCCAGCTGTTGTGTGTAGGCTACATCTCCCTGTATTATGATTAGTTTGTGTTCATGAGGTTGACAACATTAGCAAAACATTCACATCACAACGCTTCCTCACATCCTTGCAACAGTTGTTTTACAATAGTTTTTGTGAATAAAATGTTTCATATATTTCCTTAAAGGCCCAGTGCAGTCAAAAACTCGATTTTCCTGTGTGTTACATATACTGTATTTCCACACTATGAGGTTGAAATAATACTGTGAAATTGTGAAAATTATGATAGTGTCCTTTTATTGTAAGAGTTGTTCGAAATTACCACCTGAAATTTCAGCCTGTTTTGGTGGGATGGAGTTTTGGCCTGCCTGGTGATTAGTTAAAAGACCAATAAGAAAGACAGTTCCAAACCTCTCTGCCAATAACAGCTAGTTTTTCAGTTTTCCCCTCCCCACTCAAACCACTCCCAGACAGTCCTAGCAAAATTCTTGTTTGAGAAATTGCCATTTGCCAAGAAGCTATTTTTGTTTCTTTTTGATCATTTTAAATTTTAATTGAAAACAATCACAGTAACACACTTAATTATTACCCAGAAATGATTTGATATCGAGAGAAAAAAAAAAGACTGCATTGGACCTTTAAACATCCTGTGTTGTGTGCTTATTATTTTACTATTGATATGTTCTAGGCTATTCTACGACTTTAAGGAGCATCAGGTACTGCTGGAATGTCTACCAATGGCATGTCCATCTTTTTGTCAGAAATTACACTGGTCACTCAAAACATAAATAGCACACACTTTAGATGCGGCCATGCAAAAAGACTTAACTAGTGATTAGTAAATGGTTTATACGGACCTATATTAAATATCTTATGAATGGAGTAATGATTAATAAATGATGAATAAACCTTTTACTAATCCATTATAAATGTTTTATTACATGGAGTTATTATAAAGTGCTACTAGTGGTTCTAGTAGCAGTGAAACTCTTTAGCCTACAGTCAAAATAGGTGTTCTGCAAATTTCAATTTATCAACCCAATATCCCACCAGATCTCCCTACCTCCCACCAGATCTCCCTACCTCCCACCAGATCTCCCTACCTCACACCACTTTACTGTGTCCTATTGGTGCTGTCAAATTCTCCACAAAGACAGTACGCCTAGTTTCCTCACATGGATGTAGAATGTAGGATTCCCATTGTGCACAATAAATACTTAGTGAATTAAATAGTTATAACAGAATACATTATAATTGTAATTATTAGTTGTTATTATTATTATTATTATTATTATTATTATTATTATTATTATTGAGCTCTTTATGGTTGTACTGCAAAACTCAAATGTTGCATATTTTCAGCAACTCAGCAATTTACCAGAAACGTAAGAGGACAAAAGCAATGATCCTGAACACACGCGCATCTGTTTAATTTCTTTTTTTATTTTCTGCATCATGTAGTTTTATTTGCAATTATTTCTCCCCTCTTTGCGTCCTCATAATTATACCGCGGTAACGAGGCCACGGTTCGGCGGTGCCACGGCCCACCTGGACCCACCATCGCAGCACAGGCCGCGGGACTTGATGGATGGCCTGCCTCTCCGCCGTGCATAAGTCTGATTCAATACCAGATCACACCCCATGATGTTGGAAAGAAGACCAACTGTACGCGTAGGATATTGTCTCTGGAAAAGCAGACAAGCCAAGTCCCAACATTTTTTTTCTTTCTAAAGGGACTCATCCTGTTCTGACTCACGTTTTATTTGTTTTATTTGAAGGTGTAATTTAGGACTGCAGTGCTTGTGGACTGGGGATGAATTCGTTGCTGTCTTTATTTTCCCCTAGTCCTAGAGTTTATATTCAACTTCATAAGTGAGTTTCTTCGCTATGGTAATAACCATTGAATGTGAGCAGACTAATCTAATAGGCCTACTGTCACATATCCTTTGCATATGGTTGCATATTCAGACAATTCATAACCTAAAATAAGTGCATTGTGGTATTCTACTTCAAGATAAATACTCATACATTATATCAATAGAATTAAGAGACTACATTTTGTTTTGACCATAGGCTAATTCAAAATCTTTTTAATGTAATACTCTTTTTAACTACATTCATTTTTTTCAATGAATGTGTTGTTTTTCTTCTGAATGTAGGCTATAAATCTTTATTGGTCCCTCAAAAACCTAGCACATCATGGCCTCAATTTACCACTAAAAGAACCATCAAAACTCAAACAATACAAAAATGTAATCAAATTAAGGCTAAGCTGCCTTTTGAAAAATGATTTTAAGCAAACAATATCAATGATAACTGGCAAGCAATACAATGTAATCAGGGCAGTATTCAGCAACTGACGAAGATGAGTCATGACATCTCTTTATTTACTGTATACTCTGTCTTCCTCCCTCATTATGTCTCCCTCATTCTCTCACTTTCTCTTCTCTTCACACCTCTATCCTATCCCAGTTGCAACCCTCATGCTCACGCTATTCCTATACTCTCTGTCCTGTCCTGTGTACTTAAGACAATACTCCCTTCTCCATTGTTGTTGAAGTGGGATGCCCCACTCCCATCAAACGAATGGAACACATTGTTTTCAGTTCCCTGTGCAGGCACGCAGAAACACATCACATCCACATACAGAAACACAGAGGAGCTTTAAAGTATATGTGCCCTCTGTTTTTTAATGGCAGCAAAATGAGGCAATCCCCCCAAAGCATCAAATTCAAATTCCAAAGCCTCCACAAACACAGCCAGCTGACGGACTGCCAGGGAAATAATGACAGCAACTGTTAAACATTAACAATCCTGCAGCCAAAGAGTCGAAAACAACATAATACTGCTACAAACTACAACACAAATACTTCATCTCTCTCTCTCTCTCTTTCACACACACACACACACACAATTCCCAGCCAAGGCCTGGCTCTGGGCGACTGTGGGCCTATTAGTGTTAAGGTTTTGGGCCACAGTGCTTCTAGTAATGAGCCCGGCAGCACAATACAGGCACCCGGCCGGAACAGCTGAGGGGAGACAAAGCCAGCAGGATGGGGAGACAGAGCCAGCAGGATGGGGAGAGCGCTGGGGGCTTGGGGTAACTACATTTAACACAGAGAGGGACAGAGCGTTGTGTGTGTGTGTGTGTGTGTGTGTGTGTGTGTGTGTGTGTGTGCATGTGCGTGCATGTGTGTGGTGCATGTGTGTGTGTGTCCTAGCCATTACTGGGACAAACTAAGCGACAGATAGAGGCCCCTGGAGGAGCTGCTGCCAAAAAGGCAGCGCAAGCGGAGTGTGTGGCAATCAGTGGAATGACGGGTCAGAGTTCTAGTCAACTGGAAACTTCTCCACTTATCTCTGGGCCTGAGACATTGGGTGAACCAACTCAGACTCGCAAATAAGCATTGTGTACAGGACAATATTTGTCTGCCTAAATGAAACACAGGCAGCTGTTGTTTTAAAAGGTTGCGCTGAGGGTCTCTTGTCTGCCGGATGCTTCTGTTAGGAAAGGCTTGGAGAAAAGCACTTAATCCAGATTGTTTGATTGAACACATCACCTTCCTTTATTGATTTGGAGAACAGCGGTCATTAACGTGAGCCCTGTCGGTCTGTTACAAAAAGGTTTTCCTTTCAAACTATTTAAAATGAGCTCATTGTCCTGGAATTACATGTTCATAGCAATTCTGAATGGTCTCTGTCACTATTACCATATTTCCTCTGTCAGAATAAACTTGAGAAAAGCTTTAGTGATTACTATTCTAGAGATTTTATTATGAGTACCACTTTCAATTATACCCTTGAAAACGGTTCCTCTTCCTCAAACATTTATAATGAACACCATCAGTAACTTCAAGGATCTCATCTGTCCATTAAACCACAGAAGGACTTAAAACAATCACAGTGGTCAAACAGACGGTCTCTGTGAGCCTGTGGAAGATCGGAGGTGAAAGACAGGTGCCCTCTGTTTGACTGTCCTATTAGCACACAGCCCTGAGGGCAGGAAGCTCTATTGACTGGAGACATCAAGAGGGACGCACCTTTTAAAGCACACACCTTCCCGGACTCACACACTCCTATATACACCCACCTGGATAAAATCTGCCAGGTATCAGGTACTGCCCCGAGGGAGAGCCCTGAACTCTGGACATGGAGACAGAGTCAACCAAGACCAACTGCTCTCTCCATCAGACGCTTCAAAACATATTCTCCTCACACTCAACATTTCCTTTGCTATGTACTATGCAGATCTATCATGAATAACACCAAGATGAAACCCCTCACAGGTACTGATTAAAGCTCAGTCAAGCTCAGATTGAAAAGAAAACACCATCAACACAGTATATCCAGTGTTTGTCCTGCCTGCCCAGATTAAAAGTTCTAACCGCAGTGTACTGTATGTTGCCTCTAAACCCTATTCTATGTATCATTATGTTTGTCTACAGCTCCTGTGGCTGAGAAGCACTGAATCCCTGCCTAGGGAGTGTTGTCCCAGGCAGGAGTGTGTGGAAGTGGAGAGTGCAAAGTCAGGTCATGCATTGAAATGCCCTTAAGCCAGGCACTTTACCTTAACTGTTCCAGTGAGAGACTCCTAGGGTACAAAGTCTTACATTCTAAAGGGTATGGAGGAAAGAGTAGAACATCGAAGTGTTATTCATGTTAGGACTGGGTCTGCTTAGCAAATAAAATGAATATGTCTGGTTTCTGAGTCTAAAATGGAAAAAACTACATATAAAGTGCTGTGTAGGAACAAGGAAAGATTGTCTAATGCTATTTCTGGACTTCTCTAGCCTCCATGCCCTCACATCTGGTCACCTATGAAAAGGGGCAAAAGAAAATAGGAAGGGGAAATAAGAAATACGACGATGATAACATGAATCTAATCAAATTAGACAATTAAACTGATAAACAACAGGGTTAGAGAAACAGCATAAGTATCAAATGGAGCATGTTGTGGTGTGTGGTGTTTGTGTTTACAGTCCGGGGATTGAGAGGCACACTGGAGACTCTCTAGCTCAAGTGGCCACAGAGGGAGCTGACAGTGGCTCAGTGAATGGGGGACGAGGGGCCAAATGGAAAAGAGACTCCTGAAAAGATCACAGGGAGAAAGAGTAGAATTCAAGAGCCGGGCCACAGAGAAAGCCACGCCACCAGCAGTCAAGAGTGGAGTGAATGAAAGGCCAAGGATATAAAAGAGGATGGGGAGAGGTAGAGGGAGTAAAAAGCAAAATCGAATACAGAGGGGAGCGAGAGACACAAATAAAGGGTTAGTGCGGATAAAAGATAAAAAAGTAACAAGTAGAGCGTGCGAGGCGTCTGCACCAGATGGGCAATGTGTGTCGGGAGGGACATTGAGGGCAGAGGCAGGAGAGACAGACGGAGAACATAAAGCACAGGGACAAATACTGTGTGTGTGTGTGTGTGTGTCTATATTAGAGCTTTTGGAATGTTGGATGGCGTTCAACACAGGATGAGTGTTTGTGTGCATGTTTCACAGGGAGAGACCTTATGTATGGAGGGGCTTATTTTGAGTCCACTGCCCAGTGCAAGTGCTGGACAAGCCCCTAATGATCACAACTCTGGCCTTGCCTTTTTAATTACCCAACCAGCCCTGACAGAGCGCCACAAAGCTCTCCAATCCACAGAATGGGGAGTAGAGGGGGGAACAAAAACAGGACCTTTCCATCTGAAGTATGGCCCTAACCTCTGCTAATGCAAGCCTGAGTCCTGCCTGCCTCACTGCCATGGCCACTCTTTGTGTGGAGTGGAGGAGCATGATGGCACTCCAACCCAGCACCACTGCTGCTGTCATGGTCTAGAGAACATGTATAGAGCCTGGGTCAAGACCCTCCATTGATGAAAGCCAAAGTATTCACTGCAATTTGTACCCTGCATGCATTAACAAGAAACCCTATGTGAATGTCCATGTGTTTAACAGGTTTTAACATTGCCTCAGAACAGCAGGATTTCTGGATTTCTCCTACTGTTACAATTCATGTACAACAGACCAAGAACATGAAGGTTATCCAAGATGGCGTCTTTTTAGCTTATCAGGCAGACACACCCGGAGCATTGTCATGGCCTGAAGCTCCTGCCAATCCTTCGCTCTATCAATCATCCATATCTTTAGAATCTGACTTTATCTTAACGGTCTGTTGTTATTCAAATGAATGAATATGAACCATTTTAAGAGAAAATACACACAAATAAGCACTATCACATTAACCCAGGTCCTGTATCAGCAATATCATAAAATTACACATTTGGTGAACCCATGTCTAATGACAAGGGTCCTTAACTTATCCTTACCAGATTACCTGAACAAGAAATACTATGAGCCCTAGTATGCCAGGGTAAACTTGGTGCCCGAGCAAATTATGTATAATGTATATATGAATGTATGCATGTTCCTGTTAAAGCTACTGAAGAGACCAGCCCAGTCAGACAAGGTTTGTCCCATCTGTATTGTCTGTGCCCCTCACTGTTTTACCTATTATCACATCACATTCCTGTGTATCATCCACAACAGTGACATTAAGGAGGAATGTGAGGGTCTTCTGAAATATCCTGTTCTTTATTGAGACACTCCAGGTTGACCGCAGCTGAAGATGTCACTCTGAAAAAGAACAAAATGGCCCAGAATTCCTCCATGTGCCACCGACAGATCAAAAAGTCGTCTTGGTCTGCTATTAAATCTCTTTATGCCATTCTTATTGCCCAGGGGCATACGTGACTGGCAGCTCAAAGAATTGGGATGGATATTTGAACTGTTTTGATTCTAAACTCAAGAAGCCTAATTGGGATTGATAAATTAAATCATTAACTTCTCTGTTCTGAGAAAATAATTGTGAAACTTACAGTGAAATGTGATGTAGTCTTTCATGGAGATGAAATCCAAATATGTTTATATAAAATACATAGAAGATACAAGACTGCATAACTAGAATGAGCATATTGACATAATTTAGATTATTTTTCAAACTGTCAATACCTTCATTTTGATTTGTTGTGTGATACGCTGTTGTATAGCACCCTCTTGTGGCTAGAATTACACACTGCACATTGGCCAACAGAGCAAACAAGTAAGAATCTGTAACTGCAGAGATACATTTCTGATAGAAATCAAGAGGAATCTCAACATATCACAGCAGATTCATAGGTGTAGGTAGGTCCATGTGGGTTTTGAGGGATTCAAATCATTAGGAGACAAACACCTCCCGAGTGGCGCAGTGGTCTAAGGCACTAGAGATCCTGGTTCGAATTCAGGCTCTGTCGTAGCCGGCCGTGACCGGGAGACCCATGGGGTGGCGCACAATTGGCCCAGCGTCGTCCAGGGTAGGGAAGGGAATGGCCAGCAGGGATGTAGCTCAGTTGGTAGAGCATGGCGTTTGAAACGCCAGGGTTGTGGGTTCGATTCCCACGGGGGGCCAGTATGAAAAAAAAAAAAAATTATAATGTATGCACTCACTAACTGTAAGTCGCTCTGGATAAGAGCGTCTGCTAAATGACTAATTTTTTTTATATATATTTTTTTATCACAAACATTATATTACTCTTCTTGAACTGTCTCAGCATGAAGGATCGACTTCTGAGGTTCAATTCAATTTGTTAAATTGAAAGTGCACAAATATGAACTCAAATACTTTTATCATATGAAGAGCAAATGTAACAAAGAAAAGGACTCAAGCAAGTTCCCTGAGGGATGCATTCCGTTTTGATGACCTTTGCCTTCTTGCTGAATAAGTGCAAGCTGAAAATGAAAACTTAAAAGGACAGTGCTTGGAAGTAACACATTGTGCATGTCCTAAAAAAAGTCTTTGAAAAGTCATGTCAGAGTTATATGTGTCTCACTTTTGGGCACCTGCCCTCATAGGTCCTGGTTGCGTCTCGGAATGATGATCTTGCGATAGGTCCGTCTCTCCGAGATGTTGCGTTTAACTTTGACCACGGGGTGCGAGGCCATCTCCAGATCCAGGGAGGGGCTGGAGTGGGACTTCTTCAGGGTTCCCTCCTCCCCCTCCTCATCCACTGTGTCCTTACACACAGCTCTGTCAAACAGGTTGAGCTTGCTGGTTCCCACCTCAGTTTCGGCTGACTGGTTCAAACCCTTCCAGACCTCCAGCATCTGGATGTAGGCCTCGTAGCGACATTTCTATAGGGAGAGGAAGGAATGAGACTGAGACATCTAATAGAGTGAAGGGGAAAATGTAGCCTACATTACGATAATGTCACAGAGCTTAACATTGTGGTCAATCCCATATGCACATAAACATGCAGATACAATACACACACACACACACACCTCATGCTGCAGGTACTCCTCTCTGACTCGGTGTTCCTCCATCTCCTTGGCTTTGGCCCTGCGCCCGTCACGGAGACTCTGCTGCAGGTAGGCCAGGTCTTCCTGGAAGGACTCTAGCATGCCTGCATGAGACTGCAGCTGTGTCTCCTACAGGGGGCAGCAGAGAGCCAGGCTCAGTGAACAGGCTCAGAACACACTCCAGATAGAAGATGTCCCTAACCACAGATCTAGGATCAGATTACCGTACGTGGCCCAGCACAACTAGAATATATACAGTCTTAACGTACTACTAGACTCCTAAATATCCCACCCCACAAAGATGAATACATAATGTGCTAAAACAAAGCAGTGGGGACTACTAAGAGTGAACCAAGAGAGTATGTGAGTACAGTACCAGTGTGTGTGCAGACTGCGAGGCAGGCAGAATGGGTCTGCAGAACTTCCTCTGAGAGCCCACAGCAGCAGGGAAGGGAGGAGAGGAGTGTAGGGCTGACACCAGGTTAATACGGCTGATCCATGAAATCATCTCTGCTGTGGAGCTGAGGACGACAAGGGGACCGTGCACATAGAAGACATAACATCTAATATTAGCTTTACATACTGTATAAGAACATATCATGTGTATTTATGACAAAGTCACAGGATTATAGGACTGTTGCATACTGATTGATTTGCTTGTTCCTTCACACCATCAAACAGTTAAACCCATTAGTCCTATGTGTGACAAATGTAAATTCACAATTCCAATACTACATGGATATAGTTCCTGTCTCTCAGACATACACAGTACATAGACTCACGAAGCCTGAAAGAGGAAGACCCTCCAGTCGGCGGTCTGCAGGCGGAAGACGTGGGGTCTCTTAGTGTAGTCTGCTGCCTGCTCTGCTAGTGCATGGTGCACACTGACCACCTCCTCTGTACTCTGCCACTCCATCGTATACTCATCCTGAGGGGGGTGGAGAGGTTGGATGTGGTAACAAGCAGTGAGGGATCAGTGTGAAAGGCATCCTGGACATTATCAAGAGGCAGTGCAATGGAATGTTTGGAAAAGGAGGAGTTGACAAGAGGAGGAGGAAGTGGAGGAGGAGACTAACCTTCTGTAAGTAGAGGACCAGTCCCTTCAGCACTCCATAGAAGATCTTCCAGCTTCTCTTCCCCCAAGGAGCTGTCAGACAGTTACATTACATTACTCCTGAGGTCAAAGGATGCTTCTCAAAGACACTCACACACTAAATCATTTAATCAGACTGATGAATCGTCAAAGGATGAATCAAAACCCTATGATGCTCTTGTACACACTTTATTGCCCTGACATTTGAGTTCCTATGGTTTTGTGCAAATAATGTCACAGTCCAACTCACTGCGTTTGCCATCAATGTTAGCGTGGGCCTTGCGTTTGAGGAAGCTCTGTTTGAACACTGTGGCGTTCTTGTCATGAGGCACATCTTGGAACGGGTTGCTCTTGGAGCGCAGGGGTGCGTCCTCTTTAGCATCCTCCGCCAACAACATGGAGCTCTTCAGTTCCTTCTCATCACTGAACAGGGCGATTGACGAGATGGGGGAGGAATGAAGAAGCAATGGAGAGGAAATAAAAGAACAATGAAAATATGAGAGGTGTAACACAATCACAATATATTGGAGAAAGCAGCATGAAGAGGAAGCTGTACGTAAATCAGTCATGTACAAAGAGAGACTGAAAAGGTGGTGGTAAATACACTGCTCAAAAAAATAAAGGGAACACTTAAACAACACAATGTAACTCCAAGTCAATCACACTTCTGTGAAATCAAACTGTCCACTTAGGAAGCAACACTGATTGACAATACATTTCACATGCTGTTGTGCAAATGGAAGAGACAACAGGTAGAAATTATAGGCAATTAGCAAGACACCCCCAATAAAGGACTGGTTTTGCAGGTGGTGACCACAGACCACTTCTCAGTTCCTATGCTTCCTGGCTGATGTTTTGGTCACTTTTGAATGCTGGCGGTGCTTTCACTCTAGTGGTAGCATGAGACGGAGTCTACAACCCACACAAGTGGCTCAGGTAGTGCAGCTCATCCAGGATGGCACATCAATGCGAGCTGTGGCAAGAAGGTTTGCTGTGTCTGTCAGCGTAGTGTCCAGAGCATGGAGGCGCTACCAGGAGACAGGCCAGTACATCAGGAGACGTGGAGGTGGCCGTAGGAGGGCAACAACCCAGCAGCAGGACTGCTACCTCCGCCTTTGTGCAAGGAGGAGCAGGAGGAGCACTGCCAGAGCCCTGCAAAATGACCTCCAGCAGGCCACAAATGTGCATGTGTCTGCTCAAACGGTCAGAAACAGACTCCATGAGGGTGGTATGAGGGCCCGACGTCCACAGGTGGGGGTTGTGCTTACAGCCCAACACCGTGCAGGACGTTTGGCATTTGCCAGAGAACACCAAGATTGACAAATTCGCCACTGGCGCCCTGTGCTCTTCACAGATGAAAGCAGGTTCACACTGAGCACGTGACAGACGTGACAGAGTCTGGAGACGCCGTGGAGAACGTTCTGCTGCCTGCAACATCCTCCAGCATGACCGGTTTGGCGGTGGGTCAGTCATGGTGTGGGGTGGCATTTCTTTGGGGGGCCGCACAGCCCTCCATGTGCTCGCCAGAGGTAGCCTGACTGCCATTAGGTACCGAGATGAGATCCTCAGACCCCTTGTGAGACCATATGCTGGTGCGGTTGGCCCTGGGTTCCTCCTAATGCAAGACAATGCTAGACCTCATGTGGCTGGAGTGTGTCAGCAGTTCCTGCAAGAGGAAGGCATTGATGCTATGGACTGGCCCGCCCGTTCCCCAGACCTGAATCCAATTGAGCACATCTGGGACATCATGTCTCGCTCCATCCACCAACGCCACGTTGCACCACAGACTGTCCAGGAGTTGGCGGATGCTTTAGTCCAGGTCTGGGACGAGATCCCTCAGGAGACTATCCGCCACCTCATCAGGAGCATGCCCAGGCGTTGTAGGGAGGTCATACAGGCATGTGGAGGCCACACACACACTACTGAGCCTCATTTTGACTTGTTTTAAGGACATTACATCAAAGTTGGATCAGCCTGTAGTGTGGTTTTCCACTTTAATTTTGAGGGTGACTCCAAATCCAGACCTCCATGGGTTGATACATTTGATTTCCATTGATAATTTTTGTGTGCTTTTGTTGTCAGCACATTCAACTATGTAAAGAAAAAGTATTTAATAAGATTATTTCATTCATTCAGATCTAGGATGTGTTATTTTAGTGTTCCCTTTATTTTTTTGAGCAGTGTAGTTTAGAATAATGCTACCCACTACCTTGTTCTTAAGTCAGACTACTTACACTGCCCATTCCAGAGGCTCGTTCTTAATGGAGTTGTAGAGAGCCTGAGAAAGAAACAAGAGAAAGAAGGACACTGAAGTCTTCCAAAAAAACAGTCTACTTCAGACTGCTATAGATACCGTTCTTTCATTTGACAGTATCTACTGAAATATTGAGTAGTGTAGAATGAGGAGGATAATCTTACCTTTAACAGCTCCTTGCTGAAGTTCTCACCCTCATTCATCCCATCCAGGTTGGACACAAAGCTGGACAAAGACATGGCTTTGCCCACATTCTGAGGACAGACACAAAAACTATGTTTAACTCAATGGCGGTCGGTGCTCTTTAATATTTTAATGAGCATGGCTTTATTTCTATTACAGCATATTGGATGACTGTCATTCATATTCCATTCACCAAGCTCAATGTAACATCGATAGGTTTAGGCTACTACATGATACTCAAATTTTCCCTATACCCATCATGAGGTTGCTACAACCTAGCCTACAAATGAAGATTTACAACGTAGGAGCACAGGTAGAGAGACATTTTTTAGTAATCAAGGTGACAGACAGTGACCCAATCAATACCGCCTTGCACACTCATGCCTGCATCTAGCTGATCTAGTGTGTAGTCATTAGTCCAACAGTTGCAAACAAGAGTTTCTATTGGACAAATTCAGGTATGTTTATCTCCGTTTCATTCCGTTTTCTTCCATTTAAGAACATTTTCAACAGAATCGGCGTAATGAATACACCCCTGATCACCACAAACACAGTTCACTTTATAGCAGCCACATACAAACAGCATGATCATTTGCTCATTGTATAATTCCTTCTCGCATCTACACGCTCTCCTCCTCTCACGTTTTCCTTTTGCTTGTGGACTTCAGTGCACAATACAACAGCTGTCTGTGACCAGGCGAAAAAACCTTTCCAAGCCAAAACTTCATACCATAACCACTACATAGCCTACATCGTTGTCACCATATTAGCTAACGTCATAGTCAACATAGCTAACTATTGAACTAACACGTCAATAAATCCGCTACAATCTTGCAGTACAGTGTACAGCAAGCAGTTTAGCAATTACACCGGCAGGCCCCGGTGGCAATAAATTAATCAAACCAAAAGCGTACCTTGACTTGGAAGAGTTCCAGTGTTGGATAGCCATAGCCAGCTAGCTAACATAGCATCCCTCTGAGCCGGGTGTTTGAATAGGCTAAACTAGCTAGCTGCATTCGCTAGCTAGGTAAGTGAAAGTGAAATGTTCAAAAATACAACAAAATATAGCTAGCTCTCTCTTTTGCTTCTCCATTTTTTAAGAAATTAATTTGTTCAAAACTGTTCAGCTTTTGTCTTTCTCTCTCTTTGACTCAACTACTCACCACATTTTATGCACTGCAGTGCTAGCTAGCTGTAGCTTATGCTTTCAGTACTAGATTCATTCTCTGATCCTTTGATTGGGTCGAAAACATGTCAGTTCATACAGCAAGAGCTCTGATAGGTTGGAGGATGTCCTCCGGAACTTGTCATAATTACTGTGTAAGTCTATGGAAGGGGATGAGAACCATGAGCCTCCTAGGTTTTCTATTGAAGCCAATGTACCAAGAGGAGGATGGAAACTAGCTGTCCTCCGTATACACCATGGTGCTACCCTAGAGAGTACTGTTGAGGCTACTGTAGACCTTTATTGCAAAAAATTGTGTTTTCATCAATTATTTGGTGACGTGAATATATTTATAGTTTTATCTGAAAAGGATAACTGTTTTATTTCACTATTTTTTATTTTTCTGAAATTCACTGAGGAGGATGATCCTCCCCTGGTTTAACTGTGTACACATCCAGGCCCACAATCCACAGTACCATTTCCTTTCATTCAAAAGCCTAAATATCTACACGTTTGCAGTGCAGTGGGGACTCACCTGTCCATGCAGATCAGAGTTCAGAAGCATCACAGAACAGGTGAGCGTGAGTACTTCTCCGGAAGAGGAGAAGGTGTGAGGGTTGCACTGCTGGAAGCGACAGGAGAAATGTTGCAGCACTCGCTCTCTTTCCTGGGTCTCACCGATAAGCACCACCACCCTCAGGAAAGACCTGGGAGAGGAGGGCAAAATAGAGGAAATAGAAGATGATTGACCAATGGTAGATGTTAATTTGAGAGCATTACTTGTTACTATTATAGTGAACAAGGAAAAATCTCATTAGAAAGTGTGAAGGACTTACCTCAGGCCTTGGTCCAGCCTCTGACCGGTGAAGTCAAAGAACTTGAGGTACTCCTCCCCAACGGCTCGGCTAAAGTTATTGCTGAATTAGAGAGGGCCGGGGAGACAAAGACAGGTCAAGTTCATGATCCAAGGTGACACATTCTGAGAAAAAAACTCAGCAAGTACATACTAGCATAGATCATTACCCTGATAGTTACTACTACATAAGACCTATGTAATGTAATGTAAAGTGTGGCCACTCCATGTTTTGCAGCCTTTGGTCTTACTCTTTGTCCAGGTGTTTGACCACGTCTGTCTTGTAGATCCCGTCCAGCCTGTAGAGTCTTTCCGCCAGCCTGCAGGCCCTCTCCCTGTCCAAACCTCCACCATTCATATGGACCACCACTGGTTCTGAAGCCTCTGTCTGCTGTACTGGAGACTCCAGTTGCTCTCTACTTCCTTCCCTGGGCGGCAAACATGAACCCTCTGTACATTCTTTCTGTTCCAATTGTTCTACCTGCTTGGAATGCTCTGTCTGCTCAACCTCTTCTGTCGACTCAGTCAGTGCAGTCTGCACTGGCTGTTCAGTCCCTGAGTGTTTCTGTTCTTCTGTATGGTCTGACTGTTCAAGCTCCTCTGTGCAAAGGAAAAGTAATTCTTCTAACAGCTTTGAATGCATTGGTTTGTTGTCCGTCTGTTCTGACTGTTCCGTCTGTTCTGACTGTTCCGTCTGCTCTGGTTGTTTTGACAGTTCAGAATCTTCAGAGTCTTCTGTCTGCTGTGATGGATCTGACTGCTCTGAGTGCATTGTTTGCTCAGAACGTTGTGTCTGTTTTGATTCTAAACATTCTGTCTGCTCTGATTCTTTTGATTGTTCTGACTGGTCTGTCACTTCTGACTGTTCTGCCTGTTGTAAATGGGCCTCTTCAGTTTGCTCTTCTTCCTCCCCTGACTGATTTGATTGCTCTACCTGGTCGGACTCTAGAAGTTTCTCAGAGTCTTCTGGCTGCTCTGTTGTCTCGGTAATGTTCCCGTATTCACTCTGTTCTGTGTGGTTAGGCTCTGACTGCCCACTGTGTTCAGACTTCTCTGAGAGTTCTGACTGTTCTTTCAGTTCAGTTGGCTCAAGCAGGTGCTCTAAGAGTTCTATAATCTCTGATTCCTCCTCACTGTCTGACTGTCCTCTCCCCTCTGACTGTCCTATCTGTTTTGTCTGCTCGTCACAATCTCCATTATAAGCTAAACTAGTCACAGTCTGCTCCTCCTCCTCCTCATAGTCTGTAGAGCTGGATCCTTGCTCTGAGTTGATCTGTATAGTCAGGACTGTGCCAGTCTGTTCTTGTTTCTCTCCCGGCACAGAGTCTAGACTCTCACTATCCGGCCTAGTCTCGGACTCTCCTGTCTGTACAGAGCTAGGAGCTATGTCAGAGGGTGTGATAGTCTCCTCTGTCACAGACCGTCCTATCCCTTCCTCTGGCCATGGACATCTCCCTGAAAGAGAGTCTAAACACACAGATACCCATATTAATATTGACCAAGTCACTATCACAGGAGGCTGCTGAGGGGAGAACGGCTCATAATAAGGTCCGGAACGGAGCAAATGGAATGGCATCAAACACCTGGAAACCATGTATTTGATGTATTTGTTACCATTCCACTTATTCTGCTCCAGGTCATTAGAACGAGCCTGTTCTCCCCAATTAAGGTGCCACCAACCTCCTTTGCACTCTACATACTATATGATCAAGTCAAAGCGGCATGAGAGGTCAAAAGCATTTGAAGGGGTAGCATCTATCAGAATATGTCAACACATGTTAAAATAAAATCTAAGAGTAAGCTCATGGTTCATTTGCGAAGATGACTACCGTCTGTACTCACCATGGTCCTCAAATAGCTCTTGTGCTGAAGCCTCCTCTTCCTGTGTGTGTGCTGCATGCTCCTCCACATCTGGTCTTGGTGGATCACACGCCTGGAATTGCAACAGCAGCTGTCAACAATAAACATCGGGCCAGGGAAAACTTGTGATTGAGAAAGACGTGGGTTGATCAGCACTCAGACAGAAGGGACCTGGCTTTCAGATGACTGATATGTATAACGGTATATTCCATCAACCTCATCTCCACCTACGACTGGTATATAATCTATGAAGAGACAGAGGTAGAGCTATTTCTCACCCTAAATACTCTCTTCCTCTTGCACTTTCACAGACTGACAAACACACACACATGCACACAGGAAATAAAGAAAGATCCACAAATGGACACAAACACACAGCGACATAATCTCAAATTACAACAGACACATAACCACAGTCCTTTCCTGTCTGCCTGACGTACCCGAGGGGAGCTTTCACTCAAGGGCAGCTGTTGCTCCGGTCCGTTGTGATTATGTGTCTTCTCCTGGACAGACAGCTCTATGTTTATTCCTGTCACACAGGATTGATGTTGCTGCTGCTGGTGGTGGGACAGGGGACTCACATTCCAGTCCAGACTGGCCGCTCCACTGGAGTCCAGCTCATCGGCCGAGCTGTTGTCAGTCATGGGGGAGGGCGTGTCAGGGGAGGGGTAGGTTATGTCCCACTGCACCGTGGCAAAGGACAGAGGGACACTGGGACGGATCATGGTCATGGGGCACACAGGTAAAGTCATGGAGTCCCAGTGCTCCTCTGACTCCTCAGAGGGCTGTGTCCTTCCAGTCTGAGGAGAGTTATCCTCTTCCTCCCTGTCTATCTGGTTCACCTGCTCTTCCATCTCTCCCCACCCAATAGCCTCCTCCATTGGCCTGCTCTGTAGTGGGAGATCCATAGTGGTCCATGTCTGGCTGTCTGGCTCCCTGAGGTCAGGAAGAGGAGAGCGCACCCTAGCCCCCTCCATAACCTCTCTCTTCACTCAGTCCTAAGCAGAGAGATACGGCTCAACTTAGTTTAGTCTCATTCCTCTGTGCTGGGCAGGGCATCCATCTTGGAGTTAGGTCACAGTGATGCTATCATGGTTGACTCCTGTGGTTGGTTACAGCTTCCGGTGCTGCCCTAGTTATGTGCATGAGGTCTGTGAAGCAAGAACATTCATGTACAATAAAATATAGCAAAATATACGTACAGTTTGAATGAATAACTAGTGACTCGCTCATAAATTCCAATAGCAATGGTAGTGTTTGTAAAGGGCTAATGTACATATTAAAATAATCAGTAAGACAATATGTTTAGCTAAAGACAGGTTATCTTTAAGTACATCTTGAGGAGATCAATCATTCTGGCACTTGTTGATAAAGAAACATATTTGGTGAACTGAGTCATCTGCCAAATGAAAGCCAATCTAAACAGGTACAGTAAATCCAAGAGGAAATACTAGTCTGCAGTCTAAACTCTACTCCCCAACACTGGCTACCTGACTCATATAGTAAGAATCTTACAGTATGACATTTCAATTTGGAAATTGTATATATATTTTTTAAAACTGGACTAGGGTGTGAGATTAACATTCTTTCAATTGAATTGTTGACAAAAAGCCAACATCCTAAAATTTAGACCAGTGGCGGCTCATGTCACTCTCACACATCATACACAAATAGGCACAGTTCAATGACAAACATGTCTCTACAACATATTAAAATGTAAGCCAACACTCACCATTCACTTCTGCATACCAAACACTATCCAGATCATTTATTTTAAGGAAGAGGTTGTTTTACAAACCCTGTTTACTTCTCTCTCTTTTGGCGTGGCACGGCGGATGTGCTTTGCAATGACTTTTGCTGAAACATTACAGAGGCGCATTTACTTCCTGACCACAGAAGAGCAGCCTTCTCAGAAAGAGAAGTTGGAGAGCAAAGATAGAGAGAAATAGAGAGTGAGAGACAGATGGTTGGGGTGTGAGCGGTTTCACTGTGTCCTGAATACTCATGTCTACTGCTAACCATGAATCTGAGCTACCGTGATGTACATGTATATGTCATGGTCCATGGACCGACCCTGAGAATATCAGTGAAGATATACAGTAGTATGTTGTTGATCCATATCAAGGACACTACCTGATATAAACACAGCATTTTGGTAACGATTCATGTGAAGCCTCATATTAAGCCTCTAGTCTTCAGAATTGCACTGTCATAAAAAGAAGGGTGACATGGAAAAGGGTTCAAATACCTCCTATTCTCTCCATTTAAACTTTCACTCCATTTCTCTCTTTCTCTTTCACTCTCTCAGTCTTTTTTTCAATAGTCTACTCACATCACATAACCAACATCCGGGACAGTGCTTGGCCACACTTCCTGTGTGGGTGCTCACTTCTCATTTCCTGTCAGGGTGCTAGGCTGGCGCTCCACCTACAAACAGTAAAGAACGGTCTTTATTTTTGCACCCCATACTTCCTCGTTGAATCTGTGTGAGTGAGATTTTCAGATCTCTGAAATTGTATAAAAATCCATATGTGTGTTGTATAAACTCTATTACTCTTACTTTGGAGTCTGGATAAAAACTTTACAGTCAACAGCTTTCTTTAGGTATAATATTTGAAGGTATTCAGGTCATAGGTTACACTTGAAATATAATTAGAGGAACATTGTTCCCTTATGTAGGCACAATATAGGCCTATCTATTGTTTGGTGTAATAACAACAATAATCTCTGACCTTGGATTTGAATGTTGCTGGTGATTAAGTCTTCAGGTTCTTAAAGTTGAGGAAGATGTTTACATTAATAAGACAGATTTCAGTTGTGTCCTTTAAATTACCAGCATAACTACACTGAACAAAAATATAAATGCAACATGTAAAGTGTTGGTCCCATTTTTCATGAGCTGAAATAAAAGATGTCAGAAATGTTCCATATGCACAAAAAGCTTATTTCTCTCAGTTTGTGCACAAATTTGTTTACATCCCTGTTAGTGAGCATTTCTCCTTTGCCAAGATAATCCATCCACCTGACAGGTGTGGCATAGCAAGAAGCTGATTAAACAGCATGATCATTACACAGGTGCACCTTGTGCTGGGGACAATAAAAGACCACTCTAAAATGTGCAGTCTTGTCACACAACACAATGCCACAGATGTCTCAAGTTTTCAGGGAGGGTGCAATTGGCATGCTGACTGTAGGAATGTCCACCAGAGATGTTGCCAGAGAATGTAATGTTCATTTCTCTACCATAAGCCGCCTCCAACGTCATTTTAGAGAATTTGGCAGTGCCTCCAACCGGCCTCTCAACCGCAGACCACGTGTATGGAGTCGTGTGGGCAAGCGGTTTGCTGATGTCAATGTTGTGAACAGAGTGACCCATGGTGGTCCCATGGTGGTCCCATGGTGGTGGTGGGGTTATGGTATGGGCAGGCAGGCAGGCATAAACTACGGACAACGAACACAATTGCATTTTATCGATGTCAATTTGAATGCACAGAAATACCGTGACGAGTTCCTGAGGCCCATTGTGAGGCCAATTTGTTAAAGGTATCTGTGACCAACAGATGCATTTCTGTATTCCCAGTCATGTGAAATCCATAGATTAACCCCACCGCCAGCATGGGGACCACCATGGGTCACTGAGGCAGCCTATCAGAGTGAAATGCCAAACACAAGTTATCATAGTGAGATGCCAAACTGACTGTAACCACATTGACTCTTAAACAACATACCCAAAGCTGCTACATGACATGTACAAATATGCAGAAATGAAACCACAAACTTGAATGAAACCATAAATACCAACAGGATAACATGGTTAAAATATATTATTCATGTGTGGAAACACCAGATAATAAACACTACTGCTGATAATAAACACTACTGCTGTCAGCAAACAAATTGCAGAACATGCCTGAGATCATTAAAAACTCAAACACATAAACTCCTTTCAGAGTGTAACACTTTTGTTTTTAAAAAATATTTATGGAATACACACTTGCCATTTTCATAGTAAACTTGGATTTCGACTTACCCTTTCAAGCCTTCTCAGGGGGTATCATATGACCAGTCAGTCAGTAGGGCTTTAAGTCAGTATGGGGGGAAAAACCTCTTTATTGCCATGTAGACAGACAGTTTAGTGCACAAGGCATAATACCTCAGATGACAAATTTTATAGCCTTTCTCACTTACACAGCGCTAGCCTGGGGTGTCACAGCTGCCAGAACCTGGCATGCAAATCACAAGTCCTAGTCATTTACATTTACGTCATTTAGCAGACGCTCTTATCCAGAGCGACTTACAAATATAGTCCACACTCCTCTGTGACAGATACCTCTCATCTCCATGCAACAAATCCCAAACTTCCGCCTCCCTCTGCAACATGGATATGCCTGGGAAAGACAGGGAAAGAGGCAACAAAAAGGAAGAAAAGCCACATTGTGATTGGCAGAGAGCGAAAAAGCACAAAGACACCTGAGAGCATTGGGCCCCGCCCACAACCTAAAGGCACAGATGCGCATAAGCATACTATGAGGGGATTCTATTAAGCTGGCCCGGAGTAGTTTGCGTGCACTGGGTGAAAAGTGAATGCGTTCGTTTTGGAACCGTGCTGGCTGACAGCGAAGTCGGCTCAAAACAAAAGGTGGACTAATGAGTAGGATTCTGTATAAAATAAGATAAAAAATAAACGCTTTATCTGCCTTCCCAGTGAAAGCTAGTTCGATAATTCGTACATATATTTTATGGAAAATAGATGTTTCTGAATGATGGCTCATGCTCTCATTGACAACATAACTAAACGCTGCAGATTGCAGATCGATTTGAGCATGACGCTCCTCCCTCACTGGCCTCGCCCGGTCACGTGACGGGCCATAGGCCGGTTCAAACTAGGCCAGTTTAATAGAACTCTGCCACTCATACAGCCACATGTCAGGGGAGAGGCTGAACTTCATTCCTGCAAGTCTGACTGAAACAAGGGAGTGAACTGGTAGAGAGCCTCAGAGCACAGTAGGCATCCTTTGAAGCAAATACTTATGAGTCTACTGGTTCCAAGACAACCTTCCTACTGTGTTTTTCTAAGGATTTTTCCATGTAAACCTCAAAATAACAAAAAAGTTAAACAGAACCACTTTGCATGTGTTGACTTCATAAATTATGTTGTTGTTTAGCCCTATAAGACGCACTACTTGTAGCCAGGGCTTCTTGAACTGTAAACACGTGTCAAATCAACAAACAAGCAACTACAAGCCGCCCCTCGACAGAATGCACTAAATGTATCATATATAAAACATTAAACGTGTCAATTTACCTGCCAGGTGGTTGGTTACCTACTACACTTGAATCGACGGCTAACACACATGCAATGCGTACTCCTTAACTGCGGAGGCGGTAAAAGTGGGAGAGGCACTAGGGAGAGGACAACAAAACGAAGGGATGGGACGTCACTTTCACGCGACGATTAATGCTTTGTTCCGTACACGGCAGCAACCTCGTAAGATAGTTTAGGTTTTAAAATATTAAAATATTTTATTTGTATGCTATTTATTAGTAGATTATGGCAAAGTCAAAATACTTAAAAGTGTTTTTGGAGTCGTCTCTGAACGAGATTTTTAAAGCCACAGTAAGTGACATATTGGAGTCAGTGGACCAAACATTGTCTGAGTACAAGGGCAAAATACAAAGAATTGAAAGTGAGAATGAGGATCTTAAACGAAGGCTGCACGAACAAGACAATAAGGATTCGATAGTAAAGGGTACGTACACAATGCACAGTTGGCTTCAAAATAAATCAAAAAACGCCAGTGCACCTATCGATGCACACCTAACGTTAGTTGCAGCTGTCCTTTGTCCCATCTGGTACCCTCAAGATGGCCACCGAGCCTAGCTGACCCCTCACTCTGTTGCATGTTTACATGTCCTATTCCAGGCACCCATTGTAACCATGGACAACAGTTGTTGTCAGTGGTACTTTCAAACTAGCTTTCAACTTAAGAACTTGTAGTATTTTTTACTTTAACATTTATTTTTTGTTGCACAGACCCTGGATGTAACCAGGATGTCGTTCACCTCCCTGACTCCCTGAGGACATGTTCCAGCCGTTCATCTATCGGCCAATCCCAGAAGTCAATCAAAACACAGGGCGATGAGAGGAGGAGCTCCAGGAGACAGCACAAGGACAAGATGCCTCAGAGCAGAGGGTCTGTCTCCATTATGGATCCAGCAGCTCAGCAGGAACCAGAATGCCTCAAAAACATTTCAGACGCTGCTGTTTCCACCCTAATTTTCAAAAACATAAAGACAGAACCTGAAATGGAGGATGACTATGCCATAGACCTCTCAAAGCCCCCATCTCCTCTCAACCTGGCACCTAAGCAAATTAAGGTGGAGAGCGCTGAGTTGAGCTACATCATTCCTGAAGAGTATGATGAACATTTTCAGTCGCCACTGGACACAGATGTAGACTCTAGAGACAGCGACAGTGAGGTCAAAGTCACCATAGTGTCTGACAGTCACATGACCATGGAGATGGGAGACGATGAGGGCGGCCATTTTGTTGAGTCGGAGGGAAGGCTGTGTCACAATGATACTGGAGAGGCTGAGCCAGAAGTAGATCCTTTTTTGACATACTACCCTGACATGGGAACTGACCCTGCTGGGACGACAGGGGAGGACATTTTACCCACTCTGAACTCTCACGCTACAGAGCCCTCTAAAAACGCACAAGGCTTCTACAACTGCATCCAGTGTGAGAAGAGATTTAGTCGAGTGAGCTCCCTGAACATTCACCTGAGGACTCATAGTGGCGAGAAGGCCCACTGCTGCAACTACTGCGGCAAGCGCTTTGGCCGGGCAGACCTGCTCAAGTCCCACAAGCGCACTCACACGGGAGAGAGACCGTTCAGCTGCAACCTCTGTGGGAAGAACTATAGTCACCCGGGCCAGCTCAGAATACACAAGCGTGTTCATACGGGAGAGAGACCGTACTGCTGCCCACACTGTGGAAAGCGCTTCAGTGAACACAACCAGCTTAAAGTCCACTTACGAACTCACACAGGAGAGAGGCCATACAGTTGCACTGTGTGCGCCAAAACCTTTAGCAACGCAGGTAACCTGAGAATACACCAGAGAATACACACTGGGGAAAAGCCTTACTGCTGTGTACAGTGTGGCAAGAGGTTCAATGGTATGGGGGACCTCAAAACACATTACAGGATTCATACAGGGGAGAGGCCGTACCACTGTGACCTGTGTGAGAAGACCTTCAGCCAGGCAGGCCACCTCACCATACACAAGCGGATGCACACGGGAGAGAAACCATACACATGCTCAGAGTGTGGTAAGAGGTTCAGCGTGGCGAGTAGCCTCAAGCTGCACCTGAGGACTCATACAGGGGAGAAATTGTACAACTGCTCTTACTGTGGGAAGAGCTTCAGTAGGTCTGGCCATCTGAAGAGACACGAGCAGGTCCACACCAAGGAGAAGGTCTACCCCTGTGACCAGTGTGGGAAGACCTACACCGACCAGTCATCCCTCAAAAAGCACCAGAAGACTCATAAAGCTGAGGAGCTGAGGACTGAGGAGAATGAGGGCAGTACCAGTGGGACTGATGTTCCCCATAACCTGGAAATAAAGACTGAGGACTAAGACTGTTATGTCATGGTACTGTATGTGTTACAGTGCAACTATATATATATATACATACATACACACAGTTGAAGTCGGAAGTTTACATACACCTTAGCCAAATACATTTAAACTCACTTTACAATTCCTGACATTTAATTCAAGTAAAAATTCCCTGTCTTAGGTCAGTTAGGATCACCACTTTATTTTAAGAATGTGAAATGTCAGAATAATTGTAGAGAGAGATTTATTCCAGCTTTTATTTATTTCATCACATTCCCAGTGGGTCAGAAGTTTACATACACTCAATTAGTATTTGGTAGCATTGCCTTTAAATTGTTTAACTTGGGTCAAAGGTTTTGGGTAGCCTTCCACAAGCTTCCCACAATAAGTTGGGTGAATATTGGCCCATTCCTCCTGACAGAGCTGGTGTAACTGAGTCAGGTTTGTAGGCCTCCTTGCTCGCACATGCTTTTTCAGTTCTGCCCACACATTTTCTATAGGATTGAGGTCAGGGCTTTGTGATGGCCACTCCAATACCTTGACTTTGTTGTCCTAAAGCCATTTTGCCACAACTTTGGAAGTATGCTTGGGGTCATTGTCCATTTGGAAGACCCATTTGCGACCAAGCTTTAACTTCCTGACTGATGTCTTGAGATGTTGCTTCAATATATCCACATAATCTTCCTTCCTCATAATGCCATCTATTTTGTGAAGTGCACCAGTCCTTCCTGCAGCAAAGCACCCCCACAGCATGATGCTGCCACCCCCGTGCTTCACGGTTGGGATGGTGTTCTTCGGCTTGCAAGCTTTCCCCTTTTTCCTCCAAACATAACGATGGTCATTATGGCCAAACAGTTCTATTTTTGTTTCATCAGACCAGAAGACATTTCTCCAAAAAGTATGATCTTTGTCCCCATGTGCAGTTGCAAACCGTAGTCTGTCTTTTTTATGGCGGTTTTGGAGCAGTGGCTTCTTCCTTGCTGAGCGGCCTTTCGATATAGGACTCATTTTACTGTGGATATAGATACTTTTGTACCTGTTTCCTCCAGCATCTTTACAAGGTCCTTTGCTGCTGTTCTGGAATTGATTTGCACTTTTCGCACCAAAGTACGTTCATCTCTAGGAGACAGAACGCGTCTCCTTCCTGAGCGGTATGACGGCTGCGTGGTCCCATGGTGTTTATACTTGTGTAGTATTGTTTGTACAGATGAACGTGGTACCTTCAGGCGTTTGGAAATTGCTTCCAAGGATGAACCAGACTTGTGGAGGTCTACAATTGTTTTTCTTTTCTGAGGTCTTGGCTGATTTCTTTTGATTTTCCCATGATGTCAAGCAACGAGGCACTGAGTTTGAAGGTAGGCCTGGAAATACATCCACAGGTACACCTCCAATTGACTCAAATTATGTCAATTAGCCTATCAGAAGCTTCTAAAGCCATGACATCATTTTCTGGAATTTTCCTAGCTGTTTAAAGGCACAGTCAATTTAGTGTATGTAAACTTCTGACCCACTGGAATTGTGATACAGTGAATTATAAGTGAAATAATCTGTCTGTAAACAATTGTTGGAAATATTACTTGTGTCACGCACAAAGTAGATGTCCTAACCGTCTTGCCAAAACTATAGTTTGTTAAATATAAATGTGTGGAGTGGTTGAAAAACAAGTTTTAATGACTCCAACCTAAGTGTATGTAAACTTCCGACTTCAACTGTATATATGGATATTTAATGTTGATTTATCAGTACAATGTTGTAGAAACACTGTATGCTGAATTTCATAAGAACTCAAGGTTAGAGTTCCCCAAGTAGTAGGGCACCAAACTGCTTTTAGTGGATGTAGCCCAAGAGCTACTCTTGCCAGTATTGAACTATGGTAATAATTGTCATTTGTGTTAGAGCCTTTCTATGTATAAAGTGCTCCTGTTGTTTCCTAACACTGTACATAGCTTTTAAGGCATATTCTCTACTAACAAAATTTAGATTTTCTTAAAAAGAATGTCATGCATTTTAGGCTGTACAAGGTGTAAATAATGAAATTCACCCAAATTGGTGTGCGATGGCTTTTACCTAGAGACAAACCATTTTATTGAATCTATGAACATGCCGTCCGTTTACACAATTAATGGTTTTAAAGAAATCAACACGTTACACTAGAATATTGCATTCTTTTGGTAAGAATGATGGCAAACTTTGAAAACGATTTATTATTCTAAGTGTAATTAAAGGAAAAATCTAATTGCGTGACAATTAGCTTAGCAACCGTGTGACGACGTGAACGCGATTGGTCGACAGTCTGCTGGTTGGGGCATTATTGGATTCTATCTCTTTTCTATAATATCAGTTCAATTCAAGGGGCTTTATTGGCATGGGAAACATATGTTTAAATTGCCAAAGCAAGTGAAATGGATAAACAAAAGTGAAATAAACAATAAAAAGTAAATATTACACTCACACAAGTTCCAAAAGAATAAAGACATTTCAAATGGCATATTAGGTCTATATATACAGTGTTGCAACGATGTGCAAATAGTTAAAGTAAAAAAGGGAAAATAAATAAACATAAATATGGGTTGTATTTACAATGGATTTGTTCTTCACTGGTTGCCCTTTTCTGGTAACAGATCACAAATCTTGCTGCTGTGATTGCACACTGTGGTATTTCACCCAATTAGATATGGGAGTTTATCAAAATTTGATTTGTTTTCAAATTCTTTGTGGGTCTGTGTAATCTGAGGGAAATATGTGTCTTTAATATGGTGATACATTTGGCAGGAGGTTAGGAAGTGCAGCTCAGTTTCCACCTCATTTTGTGGGCAGTGTGCACATAGCCTGTCTTCTCTTGAGAGCCAGGTCTACCTTCGGCAGCCTTTCTCAATAGCAAGGCAATGCTCACTGAGTCTGTACATAGTCAAAGCTTTCCTTAGTTTTGGGTCAGTCACAGTGCTCAGGGATTCTGCCACTGTGTACTCTCTGTTTAGGGCCAAATAGCATTCTAGTTTGCTCTTTTTTGTTTGTTAATTCTTTCCAATGTGTAAAGCAATTATCTTTTTGTTTTCTCATGATTTGGTTGGTTCTAATTATGTTGCTGTCCTGGGGCTCTGTGGGGTCTGTTTGTGTTTGTGAACAGAGCCCCAGGACCAGCTTGCTTAAGGGACTCTTCTCCAGGTTCATTTCTCTGTAGGTGATGGCTTTGTAATGGAAGGTTTAGGAATCGCTTCCTTTTAGGTGGTTGTAGAATTTAACAGCTCTTTTCTGGATTTTGATAATTAGCGGGTATCGGCCTAATTCTGCTCTGCATTATTTTGTGTTTTACGTTGTACACAGAGGATATTTTTGCAGAATTTTACATGAAGAATCTCAATTTGGTGTTTGTCCCATTTTGTGAATTCTTGGTTGGTGAGCGGACTCCAGACCTCACAACCATAAAGGGCAATGGGTTCTATAACTGATTCAAGTATTTTTAGCCAGATCCTAATTGGTATGTCAAATTTTATGTTCCTTTTGATGGCATAGAAGGCCCTTCTTGCCTTGTCTCTAATATCATTCACAGCTTTGTGGAAGTTACCTGTGGCGCTGATGTTTAGGCCGAGGTATGTATATTTTTTTGTGTGCTCTAGGGCAACGGTGTCTGGATGGTATTTGTGGTCCTCTCCAGCAACGGCACCATGCAATGCACCCTGGACAAAGAGGCAGACAAATAGGAAAAATGTGCTAGATCCTCTGTTAAATTACACATTTCTCGAGGTAGGAATATCGCAAAAATATGATCAATGGCTCATTCGAGAGAAGACATCCTCCCGAGTTATGACATTGGCCAGTGTTCAAATCTGACATGTATGAGAGACATTTTCGCGATCTAAAAGTCGTATTTCTATTAACTTCCAGTGTAGTGAGAGCAACTATCACAGTGCTGCGTTATCACAGTGCTGCCTGCTTGAACGCCAATAACTCAAATACACATGAAAACATGAAATGACCCAGGGAATCAATAGAACATCCCTCAGAGATGCACAAAAACATAACATAAAAAATGGGTGAACCTTTCCTTGAATGTATTGTGGCAAATGATGGATAAACAAAAACAATTGACTAGTTACTGAGAATCTAACCTAAATATAGAATATAATCTGTGCTTTTAGTCCAAATAAAAATAATTGATCAAAACCAAATACCTGTATTCCTCAGTTTCTACAATGTTGTGTACAATTATGTACAGTCGTGGTCAAAAGTTTTGAGAATGCCACAAGTATTGGTCTTCACAAAGTTTGCTGCTTCAGTGTTATGAGATATTTTTGTCAGATGTTACTATGGTATACTGAAGTATAATTACAAGCATTCCATAAGTGTCAAAGGCTTTTATTGACAATTACATTAAGTTTATGCAAAGAGTCAATATTTGCAGTGTTGACCCTTCTTTTTCAAGACCTCTGCAATCCGCCCTGGCATGCTGTCAATTAACTTCTGGGCCACATCCTGACTGATGGCAGCCCATTCTTGCATAATCAATGCTTGGAGTTTGTCAGAATTTGTGGGTTTTTGTTTGTCCACCCGCCTCTTGAGGATCGACCACAAGTTCTCAATGGGATTAAGGTCTGGGGAGTTTCCTGGCCATGGACCCAAAATTATCACTTTTGCCTTATGGCAAGGTGCTCCATCATGCTGGAAAAGGCATTGGTCGTCACCAAACTGTTCTTGGATGGTTGGGAGAAGTTGCTCTCTGAGGATGTGTTGGTACCATTCTTTATTCATGGCTGTGTTCTTAGGCAAAATTGTGAGTGAGCCCACTCCCTTGGCTGAGAAGCAACCCCACTCTCAGGATGCTTTACTGTTGGCATGACACAGGACTGATGGTAGCGCGCACCTTGTCTTCTCCGGACAAGGTGTTTTCCGGATGCCCCAAACAATCAGAAAGGGGATTCATCAGAGAAAATGACTTTACCCCAGTCCTCAGCAGTCCAATCCCTGTACCTTTTGCAGAATATCAGTCTGTCCCTGATGTTTTTCCTGGAGAGAAGTGGCTTCTTTGCTGCCCTTCTTGACACCAGGCCATCCTCCAAAAGTATTCGCCTCACTGTGCGTGCAGATGCACTCACACCTGCCTGCTGCCATTCCTGAGCAAGCTCTGCACTGGTGGTGCCCCGATCCCGCAGCTGAATCAACTTTAGGAGACGGTCCTGGCGCTTGCTGGACTTTCTTGGGTGCCCTGACGCCTTCACAACAATTGAACCTCTCTCCTTGAAGTTCTTGATGATCCGATAAATGGTTGATTTAGGTGCAATCTTACTAGCAGCAATATCCTTGCCTGTGAAGCCCTTTTTGTGCAAAGCAATGATGACGGCATGTGTTTCCTTGCAGGTAACCATGGTTAACAGAGGAAGAACAATGATTTCAAGCACCACCCTCCTTTTAAAGCTTCCAGTTTGTTATTCTAACTCAATCAGCATGACAGAGTGATCTCCAGCCTTGTCCTCGTCAACACCCTCATCTGTGTTAACGAGATAATTACTGACATGATGGCAGCTGGTCCTTTTATGGCAGGGCTGAAATGCAGTGGAAATGTTTTTTGGGGATTAAGTTCATTTTCATGGCAAAGAGGGACTTTGCAATTAATTGCAATTCATCTGATCACTCTTCATGACATTCTGGAGTATATGCAAATTGCCATCATCAAAACTGAGGCAGCAGACTTTGTGAAAATTAGTATTTGTGTCATTCTCAAAACTTTTGACCACGACTGTATTTAATTTTTTTTAAATGGTTTGTCATTTTTTGTTGGGGGGGGGGGGGGGGGGTTACAGGTACAATATCCATTTAAATTAATATATTCAGGGGGGCTTCTGAGTGGCACAGTGGTCTAAGGCACTGCATAGCAGTGCTAGAGGCGTCACTACAGATCTGGGTTCGATCCCGGGCTGTGTCGCCATGAGGCGGCACACAATTGGCCCAGCGGGTTTGGATGTCCTTGTCCCATCACGCTCTAGCGACTGCACGCTGACTTTGGTCGCCAGCTGTACAGTGTTTCCTCCGACTGGCTTCCAGGTTAAGCAAGCAGTGCGGCTTGGCGGGGTCTTGTTTCGGAGGACGCAAGGCTCTCGACCTTTGCCTCTCCGGAGTCCGTACGGGAGTTGCAGCGATGGGACAAGACTGTTGGGGAGAAAACAGGGTAAAAATTATTAATATATTCTGTTTATATAAAAACTTTACCCATGAGCTGCCACTCAAAACAAAAGTAAGAAATACATACAGAATTTAAATAAGTATTCACCCAACCCCACCCAGCCAACATGTCTCCATCCACCCCCACCAGCAACTAGGGAACAATGATGTATTTCTTTCTACAATGTTACATTAACCTTTTATCATTCTGACACCAGCATTCAAATCAGTTGGTATACAGACACAAGCAAAAGCTTACTCCGCTCAGACATAATACAGTATGTGTTAAGAACTTTTTATTACATAGCTTTGATACAACAGCAATAACATCTGCAAAGACATTGGCATACAGAGACATTAGCCTACATATCAAAATAACTGAGTATGGTCAACATTTTATTGCATTTATTTGCTTGACAGGTCTATTTCCTCAAAGGCATTTCCATCCCCATATATGACATACAGTATGAAGTAAGTTAAAAAAAAAAAAAAAAAAAAATGTTTTCACCTTAAATCTGAGAGTTGTTCGACTGGCAGTCTACCTACATCTTGTCTTCATCAGTACCTTACATTTAGTCAGTTTTAGACCAAGACGAATTCACACCTTAATAACCAGACATCTACCTGTACAGGATGTGTGTTGAGCAATTATCCTGAGTTGGCTGTATTTCAGGTACAGCAGGAGCCAGGTTTCTGTGGTAGTATATTCTCTTAGAACAGGTAAAGCACAGGCTGCTGCTGCTGATGTTCATGAAGCCAAAGACAATGTGGTGGATGTAGCAGTGGAATACATCCAGGGAGAAGTAGTGCTGAAATGGGAACAGAACCACAGGAGGGAAGTAATTAAAAACAATGATTGCCAAGATGATGAGGACCATTTTTAAGGCTCTATTCTTGACGGGCTGCGTCGCGACCCGGCCCAGACTGCCTCAGGGCCCACAGGATGGCGATGTTACGGAATACCATGAAGGCAAATGCCGCCACGATCTTGAATGTGAAGACCTTCTCATGTGACGAGCCACATGACGGCGGCGAGCAAGGCCCAGTAGCAGTGGTCCTTGAGTTCTGTGAAGGTGGAGCACGGCCATGTAGCGGTCTAGACAGATGCAGGAGAGGAAGTCCTTGATGCCGTAGAAGTAGCGCAGCACGTACCAGGTGCTTCTGGTGGTCAGGTAGACGATGTTGGCAACCTCCAGAGTGGGGATGAGGCAGAAGAAGGTGTCCAGGATGGCAAGGTGCATGATGAAGATGTCTTAGGTGGTAGTCACTCTTGTTCTTGTGCAGGAGCCACAGCACCATAACGTTGTCTGGGATCCCCAGGAACATGTTGATGACCTGCAGCGCGGCTGGCATGTCGTCAGACTGCCCATACACAGTCTTGTCCCCAATGCTGGAGTTGAATGGTTTGTGAGAGATTAAGAGCAAGGACGAGTTAATGTAGAACAGGGATGAGTTGAAGAACCCCTCCATGATAACTGGACTAGTAGGATACTCAGTGGACACCATACAACTGGGCAAGGACTCTATATCTAGACAAACAAAGAATAAAACTGTCAGAGTTGGCGCAACATCTCTAACAGCTAGTTGGACACTTTGACATATCATGACATTGATCATGCTTTATAATAAAACATATCCTGTTAGCATCTTCCTTTTACTCTAGCCACTGAACTTCAACATGACTTAACAGCTGTCTTAAGAAATACATCTGCTTACCTGATTCAAAAATATAGTTGTCTGATATTGAATAATTCCTCTTGCCACATGTTTGTAATATGTGCCACTGTTTAAACGTAAACTGTGAGTACATCCCGTTTTAGTTAATGTGCACGTAATAAGGACTGAGACTTGCCATGACACCTGTTTGCAGATGCCTGTAATGTACAGTATCTGCAAAGTAAACGTTCAGTATGTATTCTCTTTGTTTCCTAGGAGATATGCCTATGTAGCTAAAGCTCCGACTCATATACTATGGTTTACAATATAATTAAAATCCTTGGTTCTTCTGTTGGAAAACATATCCTGTTTCTAATTATAGTCTGCATTCTGAACACCTGAACTGGAGCTAGACTGGTAAGAAAGCCTATTGACTGTTTAATACAATATTTGAATGGAGAGAATCTCCCAGTCTATGCAAAGATGGACATGAACCTTCTTATGATGGGATAAAGGTCAGCCATTTTGGTCAGGGAGTTGGTCAACCATGGTTTGCCAGTGCTGTGATATTGTGTAAAATAATGAATTTGAAGAATTTATCTGCACTGTATGTTTGTTAGCCAGCCAGCCAGTTTTGGAGGAATGATTCCATACATTTTTCAAATGAACTGCCAATATGCCAACATCCCATTCAATCCACAACCATACACTCCAGCCACCCAAGTCATAGACTGTTCTCTCTGCTACCGCACGGCAAGCGGTACCGATGCACCAAGTCTGGAACCAACAGGACCCTCAACAGCTTCTACCCCCAAGCCATAAGACTTCTAAAGCTACCCGGACTATCTGCATTGACCCTTTTTGCACTAACTCTTTTGACTCATCACATATGCTGCTGTTACTGGTTATTATCTATCCTGTTGCCTAGTCACTTTATCCCTACCTACAATATATGTAGGCTTACATATCTACCTTATACCCCTGCACATCGACAGGCTATTTACAGAAAAACCTAAACATTTGACAATATTTTAGGTTGACAATAATTATATTACACAATTTCTGATATCACGTCTTTTTTATTTTCCTGCATAAGTAAAATCAGGATTATGCCTCTACAGCCATTCATTCCAATTAGACTGGTTTGGATTTCTCCCTGACCAATATGGCTGCCATTTTCACCCCATTCTGGAACTTCGAGGGTTTATGACATAGCAACTCTATTAATTTAATAGGATCGGTATGGTCGCATCCCCCCCTCCCCAGATAGGATATGAACGTCATAAGCCATGGCAAAAATATATATAATTAGAGGAAATTAGCTGTAAAACTGCAAAATGTTAGCTCAACCTCATGGCAAAATGTGAAAAATAGCAGGAAATTAGCTAAAGAAAATCTACATTCTCTCAGCCTCATTGCAAAATGTGTACAATAGCATGAGATTAGCTATAAAACTGCACATTTTCCTCTCTGCCCCATGGCAATATGTGTAGAAATGCAGGAAATTTGCTCTAAAAATGCAAAATTCTCTCAGCCTCATTGCAAAAGGAGTAGAATAGCATGAGATTAGCTATATAACTGTACATTTTTCGCTCTGCCCCCATGGCAATATGTGTAGAATTGCAGGAAATTACACTACATGACCAGAAGTATGTGGATAACTGCTCATCGAACATCTCATTCCAAAATCATGGGCATTAATATGGAGTTGGTCCCCCCTTTGCTGCTATAACAGCCTCCACTCTTTTGGGAAGGCTTTCCACTTGATGTTGGAACATTGCTGTGGGAACTTGCTTCCATTCAGCCACAAGAGCATTTGTGAGGTCAGGCACTGATGTTGAGCGATTAGGCCTAGCTCTCAGCCGGCGTTCCATTTCATCCCAAAGGTGTTCAATGGGGTTGAGGTCAGGGCTCTGTGCAGGTCATACACCGATCTCGACAAACCATTTCTGTATGGCCTCGCTTTGTGCATGGGGGCATTGTCATGCTGAAACAGGAAAGGGCCTTCTTCAAACTGTTGCCACAAAGTTGGAAGCACATAATCGTCTAGAATGTCATTATATGATGTAGCATTAAGATTTCCCTTCACTGGAATTAAGGGGCCTAGCCCAAACCATGAAAAACAGCCCCAGACCATTATTCCTCCTCCACCAAACCTTACAGTTGGCACTATGCATTGGGGCAGGTAGCGTTCTCCTGGCATCCGCCAAACCCAGATTCATCCGTCAGACTGCCAGATGGTGAAGTGTGATTCATCACTCCACTGCTCCAGAGTCCAATGGCATCGAGCTTTACACCACTCAGGTCGATGCTTGGCATTGCCCATGGTGATCATAGGCTTGCGTGCAGCTGCTCGGCCATGGAAACCCATTTCATGAAGCTCCCGATGAACAGTTATTGTGCTGACGTTGCTTCCAGAGGCAGTTCGGAACTCGGTAGTGAGTGTTGCAACTGAGGACATACGATTTTTACGCGCTACGCTCTTCAGCACTCGGCGGTCCCGTTCTGTGAGCTTGTGTGGCCTACCACTTCTCGGCTGAGCCGTTGTTGCTTCTAGACGTTTCCACTTCACAATAACTGCACTTACAGTTGACCGGGGCAGCTCTAGCAGGGGAGAAATTTGACAAACTGACTTGACGGAAAGGTGGCATCCTGGATAAGAGCGTCTGCTAAATGACTAAAATGTAAATGTATGACGGTGCCACATTGAAAGTCATTGAGCTCTTCAACAAGGCCATTCTACTGCCAATGTTTGTCTATGGAGATTGCATGTCTGTGTGCTCGATTTTATACACCTGTCAGCAACGGGTGTGGCTGAAATAGCCGAATCCACTAATTTGAAGGGGTGTCCACGTACGTTTGTATATATAGTGTAGCTTTAAAACGGCAACATTTTCTGGTATGCCACTGTCCTTGATGCATAGCCTACATGGGGTCTTTGGTCTGTTCTCTGTACAGATGGCAAGAATATCCCTAATACTATGAATGTCAGAAACTGATCTCATAAAGGGGTTGTTTGACCTTTCAGATGACCTCTCACATCACAGAGCACAGTGTTCTTTCTTCATTTTAATTCCATTATGGAGGAACAGAAACTTAGAGGAATAAAGACATCTACACAAATGAAGGATACCTTTTTCAATTACAAATTGGAATTAAATTACACTTCACTGTGATATCAGATACTTCATGTTATCTTTAAAATATATGAATACATTTCTCATACAGTGAAAGTCAATCAACACAACTGGATCCAGTCCAGAAGGATTCACCTTATTTGTTTACTAATTTGTATGTCTGATTTGTTACTGTCTGATTTGTTACTGTCTGATTTGTTACTGTCTGATTTGTTACTGTCTGATTTGTTACTGTCTGATTTGTTACTGTCTGATTTGTTTGGGCGAACATGGTTATTAAAATCTATCCACACACACCTGTATAACTTCTGTCTAACTTTGTGTGTTTATCTTATAATGGTTACAATTCCCCACAGCATCTGTCGAAACACAACCCAGGTTCTTTCATTGTGTGACTGAATCCAAGGCTGTGTTTACGTTAGTTCTGACTGAATCCAAGGCTGTGTTTACGTTAGTGCTATGTTCACACAGGACGTATTTTGCTCATATAAGGCAAGATTCCCAGACGCGTGCCACATTCAGCCCGGGGCTCTGAGCACCATCTCCAGCCACAAGACAAGGGTTCTGTTTTTATCATGCAACTGCAGACAAAGATCAAACCAAAGTTTATTTAAATGTCTCCACATTCAAATGTCATATTAATTTTAATTATACCATTCTGATTTAATTTCATGTCATTTCCTTGTCATTTCAGTTATGAGTTTCAGGAAACGTTTCATTAGATTACCAATTTTGATGAAAATGCCAGCAATGAAACTGATAGGTTAAAAGGAGATGCCATTCAGTTGACTTAAATCCCCTTCTCTTGGATACCTCAGAGAAAAGTGACTACCTGAAGTCACAGTGCCACATAATTGATGAACACATAATGCCAAACATTGTTTCATGTTTCTCCTATCCCACAGACAGTATCTTGTGTGAAAGACACAACCTCACCATGCAGAAGTCAGTCATGCAGACGACATGATGCCCATGGGATGGTTTCGCCATTCTGTTTAGTTAGTCTCTGAGATAGAGATGAACAGCAGAGGGAAACTGCCCTTGGAGTCTCTGACTCAACATGCTTAGTTGTTGTTGCTTTGGGTGCTCAT